TATGTTGGCCACGTACCCTTCTCACTATCATAGGACCTAGTCCCTCTTCCACTCCTTGCACGGGATATCAAACGCCGAGTTCATTTATACCAAGAGACAATTTACCGGTCAGGAAGGAGCATGTGCCTTAGTCACCGGCCAGTCGGAAAAAGCGCTCATGTTGTGTCCGGGCATTGTGAAGGTGCTCACGAGCATTGACTGCTTAGAAAAGCTGTTCGGCTCTGGTGCAGCACCAAATCTTGTTCCTTGTTCTTGTTCTTGTGAACTACAGTCTACATAAGTAGAGATCAGGACTGGCCGGCTGTGATTAACTGTCTATCAGATCTCCGCATTTACACATTGGGCCTAAGAGTGGGAATAGCACAGGCCCACACTCACCCACCCCGTCAGCTGCCCGATGTGGAATTGCAGCCGATCCCGCAAGCCGATGAAAGAAAAATATACGGGGTATTGTACTTACTCTACAAGGTATATGTGCAGTACTGTACAGAGTACAGCGTTCAGTAAAAGCCACACCCTGCAATTGACGCCCAAAGGCTTCGAGTAGCCCTAGAGATGAAAGCACGCCAACGGGGCTACGCATTTCTGTCCCCACGGAGGCTATCCTGGCACCCTCGGAAAGAACAGTCTCGAATCCTTGCGCGAGTAAACTAAACAAGCTCTCTCCCACGTGATGCTCCAGGTTTTTTTTTTTTCTTTTCTCCCATACGTGGCCGATGTCACGCGTCATAGTGCCGGCAAGCGGCACTTTGCCTGCAGAGCATCCCCGTCACAGGCTCACAGTTTCTGGACCGATAGGCGAATGATTTGTTCCTGAGACTCCGAGTCGGGACTCTGGACTCGAGAAATGTTGTCATAGTCTATACCCTATGCCTTCAACCTATAAGCCCTAATCCTGATCAAATGATTCAAAACTAGAGGGGAGTAAGCAAAGTAGGAGGAGAGAGGTAATTGGAGCGTTAGCTGTCGGGACATGACGGAGGGCTGAGCGGGTTAATTGGCGATAATCGGAGGAATCCAGAAGCGGGCTTCAACTTACCCCACATTATCACTTGAGTAACTTAGCAGTCTAGCCACAATAGCCTGTGGTCAGGAATTGATCAATGGTTCCAGTTGTTTTGATCCTTGACCAAGAGGAGTGCTGTGCCCTTGCAGCCATCCCCTCTTCTTCCTCCCTTTTAACCCCGTGTGAGTCCTGCTCGAGAGCTTGTACTGGAACATCTGCTTTCTGACTCGTATTCCTGATTTTGATTTATTCATTTTATTATGTGTATATATATACATTTCTCTTTTTATTTTGCGAATTCCAGATCGATGACAAGCATGGAGCTTTCACAGACCTGGGGACTTGGAAAGGAGGAAATGCGATTGGGCAAGTGGACAAAGTGGACAGTGGACAACTTCCGACGCCTCAGCTCTCGAAAATCCTTAAAGATTCTTTCCCCCACGAGTGACACGACCGGCGGATCACCAATCTGTTGACAGGAAGTGGAAGCTTGCCAATGGGCGATCTGGGAAAGTATATTACATAGTATGAGTAGTAGCATTATCATTTTCATTAATGTTGATCATCAATCTTGTGGATGTGGGCGGAATGGAAATATACTCAATAGTTACAACTTTGAAATTCTAAGTACTCGTATGCCAGTGAGTAAAAATAGGGACTCGTTCTAGAGCACCGAATCCCATTAATATTACAAATGGAAATCTCCCAACCCGCGCTCCAAATTCCAGTTCAAGGTTACTTCTTCCCCCCCCCCTTCCGGCCTGGGGTTTCATGAAAAGCCCGCCAAATCCGACATAAACCGACTGACTGCACGGCCAGCCGCCCGCCTCTAGGAGGCTCAGGGCTCCAGGCTCAGCTCATACGCGCAACTGCCTATTTGAGACAAACTCTTAGTGGGTTCAATTATTCTTCCAAGTTATCACTTATACTTGTTTGCTTGGTTAAGGAGGAGAGCAGTAGTAAGTACAGTACTATACGTAGATAGTAAGTTACCATGTGGAAGGAAGTGAACTCGTAACCTGCAGTACAGGCAGTGACCAATCTACAATGCTTTCACCCTATTGTCCCTAGTTCATGTGCGAGCAAATGATCGATTTCCATGGTATCATATAGCAGAATCATTGACTTCATTTCAAATTGTTCAATAGGGAGTAGTTGATTTACTCGCTACAATGTATCATTAGGCACATAAATCTTGTCCGTCTCATAACACACAGGCCCTCGATTCCATGAACAAACGCCCCCTTAGGATATCTCGATGCGTAAAGAAAACAAAAATAAAAAACCATCTACGCATCCTAGGCACCCCCACGGCCCATACGTTCAATCGAGCCCATGATGCCGCTCCGCCCCGGGGTGAAAACTGCAATCCCCGATTTACTGCCGCTGTTTCCGCGACCTTGTCTGCTGACTGGCACCCCGATCTTGGGAATCTTCCTTTCTCGTTCATACCCTGCGCCTGTGCTAGGAGGACGGGTGCTGCTGGAGGAACCGCCTTGGCTAACGTTCCGCTGGATATCTTCGGGTGCTGGCTCAGTTGTAGTTGTCGACGGCTCCAGCGACAGAGGCAGCTGGGCATGGGAAGACGGGGGGAGACTTGGTTCGCTCGGTTGAACCGGCTGGATTGACAGCCACTCATCAACAGCAGCCACAAGTTCGCCTTTTTCCGCTCGCTCAACCTTCAACTCAGCATGCAGACGTTCGGTCTCGTCCTTGAGAATGACCACCTCCTGCTGTAGAGCCTTGACTTGTGCCTCCAGCACGCGATGGTCTGGACCAATCTCTTTTATTTCGTGGGAAAGTAAGCTCGAATTGGCCCGTGATGCTTCCGATAGAACGGTATCCCGCTCTTTCCTCAAATGTTCGTTCTCCTCAGTGGTCACCTTCAACTTATTTTCAGCTTGACGTACTCGTTCCTCCCAACGAGCCTCATAGCTCTTCTTCAACGCCGCCACCTTGGTCTCATGCTTCTTTTGATAAGCAGTGTGAAGCTCACGTGCAACTTTCTTGACGGCATCCTGGACCTCCTTCGCAGTCTCCTCGGCTGTCTTCACACTAGGAGAATGCGTCGCTGAAGAGCTCTCCTCCGAGGCGGAGTTACGAGAAGCGGTCAATTGACTCTGCAGGTCTAGCACCCTCCCTTCTAGATGCTCTTTCATTTTCTCGGCCTCAATGGCCCTCTTGACTAGTCGCTCCTTTTCCTGTTCGCCTCCGACAATTTCGGCTTTCACATCGCGCAGAACAGCTTCCAACTCCTGGCCCCTCTGTTGCCATTCGATTTGTTCGATTTCCAACGCTTCTCTGCGAGTTGACTCATTGCGGACCTCCTCCAATGCCTCGCCAACACGTCGCTCGGCATCTGCAACTGCCTTTTTGAGACTGGCAACCTCCGCCTCTTTGCCGCTGAGGGTAGCCTTGAGAGAAGAGATCTCAGATAGAAACCCAGACTTTAAGGACTCGAGCTCCCGCGGGGTGACCGTGGGAATGGATCGAGGAGTTGGAATGCTGGGTATGTCGAAGTCTAATAGGGAAGCCTTGGCAGGTGATTTCACTGCATCTCGAGCATTTCTCAGTGGTGATCGTCGCAGCGGCGAGTATCGCTCATTCTGCATATTATGGCGTGCACGTGAGAAGAAAGCAGGCTGGTCTGAGAAATCGAGCAGATTGGGAGTCACACCAGTGTGTTTGAAATCTCCCTTTTTGGGTGTTATGAGAGGCGATGAATTACTAGCGTCAAGCGAAGCGGATTTTCTAGGCGACTTTCGTGCGGTTCGAGATGTAGCCGGTTCCGTGCTTCGAGATTCATAGTCTTCCTCCTGGCTCAGGCTTTGTGAAAGCGATCGCTTCGACTTGTATGGAGAGTCACTTCGCAGTTGAGCGAATGTAGTCATATCAGGCACGGCAGAGAAGGTACTGAGTCGAGTATCATCTATAGAATCATGAAAGTCGTCGTTCGTAGGGTCGTTGGCTTCGTATATGTCGATAGGTTCATCATTGTCTAATCCATCGTCAATGGATTCGTTCTTATAAAGAAGAGTTGCCATGCCCTCGTTGTCCCTATTCTCAACCACGCCATGGATTACTCCTTGGCCTATCCTTTCTGCTACGCTCTGCTGGTCGCCAACAGGCTCAATATCGTCATCAGCGGAGACGCCAATTTCTGAAGCTTCCCTTCGACTGGCCACTTTTTTGTATCTTTCCTCCGACTCTTCGTCAATCTCCTGGTAGTCAGGTACCTGCTCATAGGAGCGTTTTCTAGGCGTTGCGGAATGCTCGCTGATGCTCTCTAATGGTTGCCGGGTTATGGCTCGCAGTCTCGCAAAATCAAGTGTTTCGTCCCTTCCCTCAAGCTGAAACGGTGAGCTAGGTGCAATCTGCAAGGATTCCACATCCGCGTTGTCTTCTTCCCGACTAGACAATTCATAGCCAGGGTCATGATCTTCGTCGACCCGAAGTGGTATCGGCACATCGTCGATCGACTTTGACGGGCTGGAGAGGATATTCTCCTGCGCATGAACAATGAATGAGCCCGCTTCAACGTCCTCTTTCTCTACGGCGTCATCATAATTTGATGAGAGGACGCGAGAGTTCTGGCGCGAGGACGTCCACGGTGATAGAGGTGTGGACATGGCACCAGGGAGAAGTGATTGATCACAAGTAACAGATAGAGATTTTATGAGATGGGTAGGTGTAGAAGGCACTACAGTACCCTCAAGCAGAAGGGGAATGAACGATCCCTGATTCAATGCACTAAGGCAGTGGGTGTCTGTCGATGCTCACGATCAGTCTAAGATCGGCGTTTATTATGATTTTCCGGCCGTTGCCAGGATAAGCGATAAACAAAACTAGTCTAAAAGGGGCGACGTACCACACCGCCTTTACACAGCGGTGTGAGATGGCAATTGATGTACCGAGCCTCACCGCCTTCTGATAGCCGGCCAGAGTGCTTGGGCACGACTTCACTCTTCTCGGATGCAATTGAACAGGCGGGAGGCCACTACCCATCTTGAGCACAAATGTCGATCTTATACCCTTGTGCTATCATATTGCCAGTAATACCAAAATATCTATGTACATCACTCCAGTCATACGGGAACACCTTGCCAGCACTCGAATGTGAACTCCCAACCTTTTCAGGCTGTGCGTGTATTCGAGGTACTGCTTAGCCCGACTAATGCCGCAAGTAAAATCGCACAAGACAGGGACAAGGGTAGGAGACGCTGATTATGGAGTGAGCTGCTGATATTCAAGCCAAATCATGAGTCTCTTGTACCATACGCGAGTTCCTCTCGGCTTCATGACCAATGTCGGCTTCAGCTTCTGTCACGATGATATGAACAGCTTCTTGCTTCCACGTAGATGAATCTGGTGCATAACGGCAGTGTGCAGCAGACTGTACTACAACAGAGCCATGTTTCTTCTGTTGAATGAAACACATTTGCACTGCCCCAATAATGGCGACTAGAGTGCTCCCCCACCACGCGAGGGCCGTACATTGCACCCTGACACCGGTGCTGTATAGGAACCCGGCAATTGGCGGAGCCAAGGTGCGTGAGAGTGCACCCGCAGAGGCCGCGAGCCCGTTGATCTTGCCCAGAACCGAACCAGGAGGACTGGCTTGTTTGATGAGGATCAGGAGGACTGGATAGTCGATGATCGAGAGAACGTTGCGAACAACCAGGCATCCAAGGATACCGGTGAAGATGAAGTCGTGAGGAACGTATATTAAGAACGGGACCATGAAATAAGCAAGAGGGTGCAAAATGGTGACGAGGACGAATAGGCGCCACACCCCCAGATAATGAGCCAGAACTGGAAATACAAGGCTTTGGATGAATAACGCAATAAGGCCGTCACAAGACATAATCAAACCAACGAACTGGGTCGAAAGACCGACTCCACCGGGAAATCGAAGAGCCGGGCTAGTCAATAAATTGACGTCGACTGCAGGCTTATCTTGCAGGAAGATAGGCAGCAGATGATCGTATGTCATCGAGTGATATGTGAATATCGCCAAGGCGAGAACAAGCATGGTCACCTGCCACGTGAAGACGGCCTTCCGTTGCGAACTCGAGTCTATCGAGCCATCAGAGCGCACATGCCAATCCTGATCGTCGTGGAGGTGCACATGATTGAAAGTCCCGTAAGACTCGGCTCGGAGATCAGCTCCTGCAGTCGTACTTGGTCCCGAAGTGGCCAGTAGAGGATGCATGACAGATGTGCTATCAGGGCCCTCTGCCCCAACTCCATTTCGAGGTTGCATATCGGGATGCGTCTCGTTCAGTAGAAGCCAGCAAAAAATAATACTGCAAAGAAGCAAAGCAGAGCAGACCAAGTTAGGCAAAAGAAAGGGAAATGTCCCAAAAAGCCCGCTCTGAGAGAAAAAAGTAGGATAGCCTTCCGCAGGTTTTGCAAGTAGACCTCCAATAGCTGTGAAGATGATGAGCTTGAGACCTCCCCCTAATGTCGTTGAGACACGCTTCCGCTTACCTGGGCCGATGATAGTTCCAATTGACCAGAAGAACGGCATAATAGCATATGCTCGTGCTATAGGAATGGGGTATCAGAAACAATTCCAACACTGCAGATCACTGAAACCGAGAAGTAAACCAGTCCTTACGTTCGTGTTCGGGATTTTTGACCAGCTCGCCGACCATGGTCTGAATGACCCCGATATTTCCGTTGAGTACACCACCTAAAGCTCGACCGAGCAAAGCTACCCAAAAGTTGGTTGCGAATCCAACCATGAGAAGAGATGCCATGGTGCCGAAACAGCCGGAGATAAGGACAGGCTTGCGGCCGACTCGATCCGAGAGGCTTCCCCAGAACATGCCCGTAAGAGCCTCACAAAGTGAGAAGGTAGAGACAAGAATGCCGGCATAGAAAGACGCATTGCTGTCATCAGCCACATTAAAGTCCTTGACCATGACCCATGAGTACGGGAAGATGGATGTGAGGGCAATGGGCTCTGCGATACGACATATTGCTAATACATGAGTAGTGGCGTTAGTAAGACCATCACCATCTGTTTCGAGCAACAAAGACCTTGCGTACCTAGCAGGAGAAGCTGAGCAGTGGGAAATTCGTCGTCGGAGGTAGATGTTCTTCTCTGCTGTGTTAATACCATCTTCGGACGAATCAACCAAGACTCTTACGGCAGGCCCTCCGCGAGACAACGGCTCTCAATGAAAAATGACTCTTGCGGTGTGTTGTTGAAGGGTACTTTTGTGTATGTTATATCTCCCTTTTCTGTGTTGGTTATTTATGCTGATAACGGATAATGCAAGATCTCCCTAGAAATGTTCTCCTGTAGTGATTCTATGGTCGAGTTTCCGATTTCGATTCCAGACTGGTAATAGAAGTGGAGACACGGATATCGGGATAATCGCCAAGGATTTGAACAGGTTTGTAGAGAGCGATTGTGCAAAGTGAAAGATAAAGGATGATTAGCCTAACGCAAGTGTGCTGAATGGGAAATAAAGAGCTTTGGGGGAGGGGGGAGGGGCAAGAGAGAGAAATTTATGATGGAGAGAGAAAGAATAATAGGAAAAGGGAACGTGGTGAAGAGGCGAGGGCTGGCGTAGAGTGGAACCCACTATACAGTATAAAAAGTATGAATCTGACGAACAGGACTGCAATTGCTCAAGGTATGCATAAAGTACAGTAACTACTACCTAGTACTTGGCCACACTGTACTTCATCCATGGGACTACCCGGTCTGCCGGCAACCTTGAGCCTGCCCAACCAGAACAATCTTTCGTGCAAATTTCCCCCAAGCAGAAAATTGTGGTACAGCAGCTGTAAGATACGAGCACATATGTGGTAATCATATTCAACGAGTCGCAGGCAGAGTATTCGACAGTACATTTCGAATTATAAAGGTCAATCCGTTTACGGCACTAGGTAAATTATCTAGAGATCAGCTCGGAGTATAGTTGCCCCCGCTACATTTAGACGATCAGCAGGCAAACTCAGGCAGGCCAAATTATGTTCCGCTTGCAGATCTGAGGCCATGCTGACCGGTGGCACATATTCCAGTATGTAAAGTGCATGTACTCCTACAAACAACCTTTTGAAGTCAGCAAACTTTGTGAAAGTGGCAAAGTAAAGGAACCCTTACTCATGTGGGGAAATGGTTAGGGATGAAAGACCGTGACTGTATCGAATTCTGGGGTTCTATTGACTTGCAACCATCTCTCCCTGCTAAAAGACATTTGTGCCTCGCCACTGGCACCGAAAAAAATATACTCATACCAGGTAGATGGCCACGACATTTACTTCCTACTCATTCTAGTACTAGGCTACTACCGCACAATAATTATGGCAGGTAAGTTAAGGTTAGCCTTGCACCTTCGAGCCCCGCACTTGGAAAGTCCTGTTCCACCAATAATGCTTGTCTGATATTACCCCCAATTGACCACCCGTGACCAGACCGGGCCAACATCAAGTGGACTATCAGCACATTCATGGCCAAGCCATTATATACTTAGCTGAAACCGCACCAGGAATCCTGGATTGTGTCTCAGCCATTTTTAGTTTTCTGTCCACGAAAACAATACAGAACTGTTGAAAATGACTGAACTTGCATGACATTATAAAAAGGGTGCTTGAGTCACCGTGGAAGCCTCAAGACTGTTGTCATGCTCGTGCCAAAATGTTTGTGCCAAAGCTGAACCATAGTACGACGTGTAGGTGTCCATCTGGTATGGAACAAATGCTGTTTCAAGCAATCAAAGTAAATATGAATAGTAGTTTGAAAAGCGATGACGGCAGTTTTGAGGGGAGGAGAATAGAGGGCCAGTCTCGGTAGTTCGTGGTTGACAATGACGCTGTTGTCAGTTGATTCAGGTCGCAGTAATGATCTAATTACATGTAGAAGGCGGTACCGTCTCCCCATTGTCCGCCATTGCTGATTGATGCCTCGTCAGACGATATCTGAAGGCCATTCGGATACAACCAGGGCACATCCGCCTCTTTCTGATGAGGTCACACCGATAAAGCTCCATGGACAGTGTGTTATGTACGGCAATGTCAGGGAGCCAGTCCGACGCGATACGTCGGGGTTTCTGAAGATCCGGTGGCATTATGCTTTGCGTCCGAAGTGGAAATTATGTGTATCTATTAGAAGCTGCTGGCAACATGGAACCAGCTAATGGGCTGCATTCCCCGATATAGGTATATATGATCGTCGCTCTCTTGCAGTCTGGAGTGCGTCAGGATCGCCGAAGTCCACGAGGCCATCAACAGGCAGACTGCAGTACATACCTCCAGCCATTTCCCTATCCAGGGCTTCATTATTGCCCAGGCCAGAAGGCTACCGGTTGCGATAATGAAAATGAACACAATGGCTTGGTCCTTTCTGGAATCTCGTTCTACGTGGCGGCAACGATATTAGCGCATCTCTCTAGAGACGAAGGGGCAAGATTAAGTCGTACGAAAACATGTTGTGAAGACATCCTCTTCCTTTGCTCCTTTGCAAGTAGGCAGATCATAGTCGAAGCAAAATTTCCGATTACAGTCGTTGCAGCTCAAAGACCGGTAATTCTTCGCTCTCCTATCTAGGAAATCATCGGCATCGTCGTGACTTCGGAGACGGAAGAGACTGCTCTGTGTAGACAGAGAATTCGACTTTTCGGGGTCAAGAGGAATTATTGTGCTGTTGGAGAAGCAGGTACACTTGCAGAACGACGCAGGGGCTAAGATCAGAGTTGTCTAATTAGCATGTGTTGCTCAATAGGGAGAAGCATGTCGGGCCTAAGCTTACAGGAAGCCACTCCAACAGATGCGCAGGCGAGAAATATGAGGCAAATAAGCATCAAGTCGAGACCTCTACCATAAGGCTGCATTTTGCTGCTTATCAAGATAGACAGGGTGACTATCCGCTGCTGCCATCAGTTGCTGTATCACGCCCCATGGCTACATGTTGACAATCGGCTGCTATCGCTTCCCCGATTGTTCCCCGGATCCTTGGCGCCACGTGACCGTTAACACTCAATAACCGCTCTCTACTCCGTAGTGTACCTGAATAGCAGGAATTTGATTAAGACACAATATGTGGCTACGACATGATACGATGTTCTTCCTACAATGCCGACCCATGAAGTGCAATCATCATGCATTTTTGACGTATATATAGGAGTGAGAATCATCTAGGATTTGCCTTTCATGCCCTTGCTCCGATTCTCACGCTGCCTGTGGTCTTTGGCGGCCTCGCGGCGTCTTCTCTTCCATGCACGGTTGTTGTCTCCTCGATTTTCCCAGAACCATTTGACAAAATCAGAATCATCTTTGGGCCCTGATGCAGCCTTTGAGACCGGGGTTGTCATGTACACGTCATCGTCTGAATCCATAACCCGAGGCTGCTCGGGCTTATCCCAATTAATGGTTCGATTGACTAACGCCGTATCAGGTGTTGGGGCCGCACTTCTCAATTCACGATCCCGTAGATCCCTCTTTGTGAAAGGTGTAAGTGGTGCTGCAGGTTGGGCTTCCGTCGCATCCTCCATTTCAACTTCGTCATCCCCTCCGAAAAAGCTGAAGTGTAGCTTCTCCTGTGAAATAGAGTTTATAGCAGATGTGCTAGGCGCGGGCCTTTTAAAAAGAGCCTCCAACGGGTGAACTTCCTGGGTTGGCGCTGTCTGATCATTATTTCCTGACGGAAGAGATTGAAGCCCCGACGAATGTGACTCGGCCACACTCTCCTGCTTTGATGACTTCAAAATTTGTTCTTCGGCGATGCTTAGATCTTCTGAATCATTAGACGAGCTAGATGAGCAAGATTCATAGCTCTCAGACTCTTGAGAATCTTCTTCGGACGAGGGATCCTCTTCGGACGAGCTCCCACCGCTGGAAGATGTCCAATCCTCTGATTCATCGGTCGATTCTGCTTCTTTAGTGGTTATTGTTTGTTTCGTTCTGGGTTTGCCAGGAACCGTGGTGCTGTCCTTCTTGATAGCTCGTGGCTTCTCCTTAGTTCCTGGAATGCATCCCGGTCTATATTGGTCTGTCCTTATCCGATCACTGACAGGCTCTTTCACAGTTCCACTTGTGTCCATCCAACCCTTGCCTTCAACAAATGTCACTGTGTCCGCTGATTCGTCACGTCCAGACCGTAGGAAACTGGGATGCTTGACCGTCTTAGAAAACTCATGGACGATTGTCTCATGAGCAGGCTTTTTCTTCTTCGACTGTTTCTCATGCTTCTCGTCGGGTGATGACATCCGATTAGGAGGAAGTTTTGTACGGAACAGGCACTCTTCCTTTTCGGTATACTTGGACTTCGCCTGTGACTTGGCTGGCTTGCCCTCCTTTGCATCCTTCGACTTCTTATTCCTTTTCTCTTCTTTGCGCCTGTCTTGCTTGGCGTCTGCCGACTCTGTCCAGCCTCTCTTCACCTTGCGGTCAGCCGGAAGTTCATACCCTTCGAGTGTCTCTTCCGCCGCCTTCCGCTTCTTCGCCTTCTTATCTGACGGGGATTGAGTAATCTTGTCGAGTGCTTCATCCTCACTTCGTTGCCGTTTCGGTGAACGCGCCGTATCCACCTTGAATTTGCGACCTTTTAAGATTGAGCCATTGAGCTTTTTCTTAACCTTTTCCGCCTCCATTGTCGGCAGCGTCACGTAACCGTAATTGTTTTCGGGGAAGGTTGGGACACAATGAAAGGAAATCTCCGTGGCCAAGGGCCGAATTGTTGGTGGCAAAACGGAGGGGAGAAGCTCTAGGTTGAAAGGAGTGATGTGAAGTCGTTTGGTTCCAGGCGCGGAGTCCGTCATTTGCTGCGTTAAGCACGACTAGATGGGATTAGGAATTGAGCGCTTTTGGTGCAGAGGGATCAACAACGCATCGGAATGGCCTCCGTTGTGATAGGCGCAAAACTCTGAGAGGGTCGAAGCAGAACTGATCGAAAGCAGATAGGTATATGTATAATCAGGTGGGTATAAATTCGCGAAAGGGGAATGTGTATCTCCAAAGTGTCTACCCAGATTATCCTATCACAGCCACATCAAGAAAAGAAAAAAATAAGAGCGCCGAAATTGATAACTGGTCCAGATCTTGGGCGATGGATTTTCCGGTCCGCGCAGGCTTGATATGTGGCGCAGTAACCTAGCGGACAACCTAACTAGCCACTTGAGTTTGTTTGTCTGCGATGTGACCTAACTTTACTCCGTACAGTTCATGAATAACACATAGCGTACTTACCATTCAGCACATTAATGCTCATAGTAGGCGCTAAGGTCAATATCTGACTCTCATGTATCCTATATATTTTTAATGATGATAGAAAAAAGTAAAAAGCTCAAGAACTGCGGTGTTGACCGCCGCGGTTTTTGTACTGTACAGTTTCAGTGTAATCTAGAAGTTGACGGGCCGAACGTCAGCTTGGGTGAAGTCATCGATTACAACTACTAACCTTGAAGTTAGCGGCTACTATCTGGCCGATAAGTTAGTACGTACAGTACATGTACTATACGTAGATCTCGTATCATACCGTATCCGTATTCCGGCATTACCAAATCCGTTCCTCGGCCTTGCTGTCTGACGACTGAACTGTCTGGATGACTTGACTAACTAACCACTAACTAACTAACCAAGTCAACTAACCTACTGTGCTGCATTCATGATTGTTGATCGCTCGGCCGTCTCTTTTCTCTCCTCCTTCCTCTTCCTGCCCCATCTCTCTCCCATTAATGTTCTTCCTAGACCACGACCAGCCAACTCATCTTTTCGTGGGGATACACTAACACTTTTATGTTACTCTTGAGTCTTCAGTTTCCTTTCCCTTCCCCTCCCTCTGTCTCCCCTTATTCGGCCCCAGACTATCTATCGTCCCGCGGTTAGTTAGCTCGAGCCCGCGCTTCTGATCTCATCGCCGCTTCCAGCTTCATCCTCGTCCGCTCACATGGCCACGTTGGGTTTACTGACATTTTGTATCCACCCTTTCTCAAGCAACTGACACTCCTCTAACCTATGCGCTTTTCGTTCTCCCCTTCATTTTCCCTAGTCTCTTGTGGCCGAACCATCATCATTATTACTGCACATCATTCCGATTATCTCTAACCTCTTCCATTATTGATTGCCGGCCGGATATATCGCCGCCTCTTTCTTTGCTTGCTTATCCGGGATTTCCCAACCGGGCCTTGACCTCCTGCCCGTTGGTACCCAATCGCTTTGCTCTTCTTTTTCCCTTCTTGTTCGAGATGGGCAATTCCCAGACGAAGGAAAGCAGACCGTCTCTTACTGCGCCAGGGCGCAGAAGCCATCATCATGGCCCGTATGGCGACCGCCACCACGCTGACGGTTCTCGATCGACTCGAGGCAGCGGACCCGATCTATCCATCCTCGGTATCAATACACATTCGGAGCGAGACGTGGCGTCGCTTGAACATCGGCGAGAAACTAGACAGGAAAGGGAAGCTCGCCGGCTTGAGAAGGAACGGGCGGCCCGCCTCAAAGAACGAGAGCGTAGTATGAAAGAAGAGAATGTTGATGGCGGTTACCTGGTAACGCAAGGTGTATACACCGGAATCGAAGATTTCAATAAGGCTGTGGTTCGCCAATTAATGGTAAGTCGACGATAAGATTTGCTTGCCTGTATTATCGAACCTGACTTAAGCTTGCTTAGGTCGAACGACGACTTGCACCATTCTGGAGAGGTCTCAACGACTTCTCAGACTCATGGACAGAACATCAGCTGATGGCAGCAGCGCGAGGCCTGCCAATCCCCCTTCCGGATGAAATCCCTCCGGAGCTGGAATATAAGAATCCGCCTAAATCTGGCGAAGATGCCCGGGACGCCTCGGATACACCCACGGTACACTTGATGGTACCTATTACTTCCAGGTCTCAGTCGTACGGCTCGGATGCTACTCAGTCTTCTACACCAGCACATTCACTCCCCTCACCGACCTCTCCTATCGCTTCCGGCGCTTCCAGCTCACCTATGTTTCGGACCCGTGCAAAGACATTGGCATCCCTTTCCACGTCTAAGCATGGCATTCAATGCGATACAATGACTCGAGAAATTCACCTTCCACATGATCCTTTTGTAAATGGACAGCCGATTGAGGCTTATCTATACAAAGCGGCTGCCGAATGTCCCATTTGCTTTCTGTGTTACCCCCCCTATCTCAACCGGACGAGATGTTGCGACCAACCAATTTGTTCCGAGTGTTTCGTCCAGATCAAACGACCTGACCCCCACCCTCCGGAGCACGGAGACACAGAACAAAATGCGCAGTCGGCGGCTGATGGTGAGCGCGCGGATAATGAGGACGGTCAATTAGTATCGGAACCGGCAGCATGTCCGTTTTGCGTTCAGCCTGAATTTGGAGTCACTTATGCACCACCGCCATTCCGTCGAGGACTGGCTTACGCAAGCGACATGGGTGCCCGTCCGAATCTTACATCTCCACTATCCTCCAGCTCGTCCCTTTCTTCTAGCACTACCCCTGTGACGGGCCGTCGTCGCGCGACGTCATTATCTGCCAATGACCCAACTGTGGTCACAACTGATAGGGTCCGGCCTGATTGGGCACAGAAGCTAGCAAACGCCAGAGCACATGCCGCGCGACGATCTGCGGCAGCAACCGCTCTTCACACTGCCGCCTATCTCATGCACAACAATGGTTCTGGCGCCGACTCGAGGAATTTTGGCCTTGGAAGAAGGAGTGTTATGCGACGGAATGGGGGACCAGAGAGTCAAAACACCTCGCGAACCGGCTCCCCTGCGCTGCAGGCCCTTGCATTCTTGACAGACCGTCGTGCTGCAGGCCAAGAAAATGATCTTGCAGAAGATGCTCCAAACAGCATTGCACCACCACGCAGCAGGTCAAGGAGAAATCGTATCGATGACCTCGAGGAAATGATGATGATGGAAGCTATTCGGCTGAGTTTAGCCAGTGAAGAGGAGCGGCGCAAAAAGGAGGAGAAGGAGGCGAAGAAGGAGGCAAAGCGAAGAGAGAAAGAAGCCAAGAAGGCGGAGAAGGTTGCGCGCAAATCAGGTCCGCCCAGTGACAATGCCAGTAATTCTGCCCTGGATGTGGTTGGCGATTCCAGCCTAGGAAGAGTCATCAGCAGCTCCTCCTCTTTTACCGGCGAAGAGCCTCCCTCTACTAGCAAGGGCAAGGAGGTAGACCGTGCGCCACCTCCAGGTCAAATTGCGGTTATCCCCACTGAGGTTGTCTCTAGCCTCGAAGGCGCACAGTCTTCGCCAGCTGTTATCGCGACGCCGACCGACCATGCTCTCCATTTGCCAACCTCGTCGCACCCGCGACCGTCACATTTACGCCATGTCTCTAGCGCGTCCTCGTCGTTTTCATCTCTGGTCGAATCGATGAATGAGGGCCATACTGGACTTCACACATCTGCTAATGGTGCGAGCTCCTCCACCGAGCCCATATTCAACTTTCGCAGTCTAGCCGCTGTGATTGGAGACGAAGACAAAGGCGACGAAGCAATGGAGCACGTGGAAGATACAACACTAAAACCCGATGCATCGAGCGCAGTATTAACTTCCCACTCTGCTACCGCCAATGATGAAATGGTGAAATCTGGGCAAGTGATAACTGCGCCGACGCCTGTTTCCTTGGAGGTGCCTAAGAATGAAGAGTTAATTCCGAAGGAGTTGGAGTCTCGCTCGGTTGAATTACCATCCACTACAGGAGATACAGAGACTGCCTCCTAGATCTTAATATTTTGCGGGATGAGGCTTTTTCGTCTGTTCGACCAGGCTGCCTTGCGACGTTGCTCCAACCTGCGTCCACTTTTGCGGAGGGATAATTTACAACAGGTCACTCGCGCGAAGGGGGGTTTTCTTAGGGACGGAGGGAGGAATAATAGTGATACAATTCTTTATGCTTCTGCCATTGCTACACCTGACGAAGTCCTGTCCCTTCAGTATGTGCATGGATCCTTTTTTTGGTAGCTGGCCCGCGTTTCTTCTTTCTCTATATACATACCATTGTATAGATTCGACACCTGTCTTCAATCTTGGCTCCTTTGTCTATCACTCTCTCAAATGGCAACGCTCCAACACCTTACGGATGTTTGCTTGGGCTTTACTGAAGAAAAGGATGCTGCAAAACAGGGAACGCGGGCACCCAAGCCAAAATCGAGGACACACATAATACATGTTTGGATTGATCAAGCTCATTTGTATCAAATACATGCAAATTCCATGGCTGGTGACCTTGTTTAAGGTCGAAGTGGAGCGGATCCTTTAATAGTCTCAAGACCTTGGAGTTGTTTCAGCCCATATGATGGAGGCTCCACCGGAGAATTATTTAGTGCGTGGTGTTCTGTCATTCATTACGCCAAAGGTCAAGACTCAAAAGACAATAAATAAGTATTTGGATTACGGACAGGAATACAGTAAGATAGGTACATACTAACTTAGTCAGGATTGGACCTAGTACAACCCTACAACTTATAGATACTTATCCAAGTATTACCTTCTTACGGCGCTGTAGATTCTAAATTACATTATCAAGGACATTCCCACGTGTTCTCATTGGGCATTCTGACTCGTTTCGGGGAATTTGTTGTGCAGTGGACTCCGTACTTGGTAACTTACTAGGTAGTCCGTACTATGTAGGTGCAAGTAAGATTACATGCACTCCGCTGAACTTACGTGGTACTTGAGATACAGGGCACATTGTAAGGTACTCGTACCTTGTTACAAGGATCTGCTCCATCACCTCCACCGAACAAAAAATGGTATGAAGTATCTACTATGTAAATCCTGTACAGTGCAGTACAGTACATAATTTAGAAGTACTTTATCAGGACTCCAGATGACAGACAGACAGACAGGTCTCGCGCACTCTCTTCTGCGCCAGACCAGGGTCCATCATCCATTCCTCGTTTTCTGCTCTGATTCGTCCTACTCACTCATAGTAGTGCCACCAATTCCGAGCACGGATCTTACATATCTAGTACTGCAGTGTACATTGTATGAGTACATAGTACTCCGTACATCCATATATTCTTGGTCTGGGTGGACAGGGGTGGCAATAGTTGACCGACACTGCAATTTTATCATTGACTGAGTGTCTGAAGGGTTTTTGGCGAAACTCCCAAAGTCCCGACTGGCAGACCCTCAACTGAGGTTGTTTATCACTCCAAGTTCCCACTTCCTCGCTTCATCCCATCCGAGTAGTGATTCGATAAGACCGGGCAGAGGGTGCGGAAATTCCTATCAAAGGCTGGAATGACCCAAAGGGGTTTGAAATGACGCTATCATCCACTAGTCCTTGCGACGGACTGACGCGATCGATAGCTTTGCAGAGACACTGTCATTCGCTCTCCTTTTCTCGTCTTCTTCTGGTTCGTCAAGATCGAACATCGAACATGCTTCCAACTTCAGTCCTGTCACAGTGCTAACTATCTGTCTGTGTCTGTATTGTAGGTATCGACCTTGGGTACTAGCTGGGCAGTTTCCTCCAAGTATCCGCCAGTCAAATTTCGAGTCTGCCTTGAATCTTGTATTTTGATCCAAGCAGGCTGGCCATCTGCCTGTTGCCCTTTGTCCTTCCTTCCTCCCTGCTTGATTTTCTGTCTGGGCTGCGCAGCCTGTCAGGACTCAGTGGATCCGTGGTTCAGCTCTGGTGTTTTTTTGTTTTTTGATTTTTTCCCTGTTACGAACTTACTTACCCTTCCGAACTTGCGCGTTCCTGGCTCGAAACCCGGATTCAATCCACTTTTTTATGGTCTCCATTACATTGGTCAATCACTGAAGAAACAGCCCAGGCAGGAATTGAACCAACTGAGAGATAAAACCCTAACCATTCAGTAGTCTGTTCGAGATGTGATGAATCCATCTCAATGTCTTGTCCTGTCCCCTAAAGATCTGCTCTAAAAAAAAGCCCCCCTCTCTTTCAGTCCCCCTCCATCTGTTTCCTCCACCCTCTTCCTCTCTCTCTCCCTCTCTCTCTTTCTGGTATTCATTTAATTCTCCGATCTCTCTTTCTTGACAAACCCCAAAGTCACACATCTATCTATTCATACACTTATAGAACCATATATCTTGGATTGTCCAGAGATACCCTTTCCTTCGGCCCACTTCTTTGTATTGTCCTTGATCAAGTTATTGCAGGGACAGTACAGGACAGCAACCCTCAAAACGAGGCAAGATGGCGATTCTAGACAAAGAAAGTCGGTCCCGCGGCCTGCGAGTGCCTTCCTTTGCCAAAAAAGGCTTCAAGCAAAAGTCTTCTGAATCTCTGCCTACGAAGGAATCCGCGCCCGTCCAGCAACCTCCGGCAGCTCCTGCTGTGACCCCCCCACGATCCGAATTTACTCCGGCACCTCCGCCGTTCCGATCGCAAGAGCCTGACGAACTCCCTTCTCCTCCCACTGTACAACCCTCTGCTGGCCCGAGGTCTTTGACTGACGGCCGCAGTCAGCGCCCGCCTTACAGCCCGCCGGATGGCCCTCTTCCTGAACCTCCGGTGTTTCGGGCTTACCGGCCGCCTATCCCGCCGCAACCCACCCCGCCGTCCAGCGAAGAAGACCTGGAACCGGAATCTAATCGCCCCAGTGCGGTAGATTCACTGGACCATTTCATCCCTGAGCCCGAACCTGAATCCGAGGCGCCTGTCGACTCTCTCTCCAGTGAAGATGATAGGGGCCCGTGGACGCCTCCCGACTACGAGCCGGTGGCTGTGCCTCTGAATAAACTCCATTACGCTTGTTACCAAGACCACCGGTCAATGCCTCCAGCTAACAATGCCTGGTATGCGCTGCCCTGCATGACGTGCCAGAAGTTTGACCACGAAGTGCGACACCGGTGCGTTTTTTGCTGTCTGCGCATATGCGGAGGATGCTATCAGGCCTTGCAGAAATGCCCTAACCGCTCGTTGGCGCAATTGATGAGGTCGCTCCCTTCTTCTCAATGATGATTCCAATGACGTTCGTAATACTGCTTCTCTCACTGTATACGGTCAGGCAAGAGTATGGTCGAACCAAAAGGCTGTTTCTTGCTTCTCTCGAACATTCTCTTCCTGCTTTATATACCTCGATTTTTTTTCTCATTCTCTGTTCATTTATACTTCCGCATGAAACAAGATTCCCCTCGAGTTGCGACTATTTGTTGCGTGTGGTTTGGACGAATCTAGCTCTAGTGATGGCGATTAGGGCTTTTCTTTCCGGTATCTCGTTTGTTGACTTTTACACTGGACATGACGGGCCAATTTGAAATCGGCGGGTGCAACCCCAAGATATAATTATAATGCTTAACTATCAAGTACAGGATTAGCAGATGATATACTGCGTTACGTATAGCACATCCATGTGGAATCAATCGTGATCCTCTTCTGTCACCCCCGGACATCCTTCCATCTCAGCACTCTCGTATCGATACTTACACCAGAAACAGTAGTGATGTTGATCACGTAGATACCGTACTAATTGGGACAGCTGTTCGCTCGGGCCTAACGCATTAAACTCGTCTAGCTCGGGATCATCTTCTTCGATTTCTTGCTCGAGAACCATTGATGGCTCTCGTTGCCCCCCGATAGCTTCTTCGTCATCTCGATCCAGTGTCGGATCGTTGTGTCCTGGTAAGCGCGGATTGGGAAAAAATCCAGAAGAGAGTGATGTTTGCAGCATATGACGCATCTGAAGATTGCGTTCTTTCTCCTCGCGTTCACGGACTAGCCCACGGTAGAGGATGTTAATTTGAGACGTTGGCTTGGCCTTCTGCGGCTTGCTTGTCACAGGTTCGCCAGCCGTATCATCCGGGGTTGAACCTTCCCTTTCCCCATCTGTCTTTTGCGTTTCGGAAGACTCTCCTTTCACTGCGCTGGATGGCGGCTTTTCGTCCGTCTCAGCCTCGGCATCCAAACGCTCAGCAACCTTCTGCGCAGCATGCACCTGCGCCTCCGCTCGGCGCATCTCCCGCTCAAGCCGGACCCGGTCGCGATAATCGCCCTCATCCTCTTTCACTTTCTTGGCAACATGCTCGGCTTCCTCGAGGAACTTGCGCTTCCGCTCGCTATCCAGCCCAATTCCACCCTTACCCTCTTTGATTACCAAATTGAGAGGCTCGGATCGGAGTCGAGCATCGGGTTCGTCCGGCTGCGTTCCCTGAGATGATTCAGGCTTTCCTAGGGCCTGTCCAGGTTTGAAGCCCAATTTGGCCATCATCTGAAAGCCCTTGTTGGAAGGGTTCAGCGCACTGGTGGCAAGAGCTGCATCGCGACGTGCTGCTTCGTCCGCAGCGCGTTCGGCTTTTGAAGGGACTCTGGCACGCGCTTCAGCCTGATTCAAGAACGGTTAGTTAGCGTTCGATTTGGACGAATCTTCAAATCTAACCTGATACTTACTTCTCGTTGTTGTCGGCGCTTCTTTTGTGTAAAGGTTTCCTTCTGCTGTGGTTCCTCAATTACCATGGACATGTAATCATCTTCCTCCTCGTCTGCCTCAGGCATTGCGCGTGCGGAGGGGTTGGGTTATCGGCCGGAGAGTGACAGGAACGACAGGGAAGACCGGGATCCAGAAGTAGACGCCGTGAAATCAGAGAAAAGGGTTCAATCACAAATTGCGCCTCACTTGACTAGAGAAACGCTAGCCACGTCAGACGGAGTAACAAGCTCAGAGTCAGAGCAGCCAAGCAGGGAAGATCGACTGCGGGGAAGTAGGAGCTGATGCGGAGATGCGGATTTTTCCTCTCCGGCTTGGGAGTATTCCTTGTTCGCTCTACTAACTAGTTAATCCACCACCAGTTGGCGTACACCTCACCCGTCCAGCCAGCCATCAATTGACATTATTCGCAACTTACGGCTCGGGGTGTACATACACCCCTCTTTGCTGGCACTCTTCAATTGGTCCTCACAATTCCGGACCATATCGTTGTCTGCGTCAATCATTGCCGAGAAACTCAGGATGACGGCTCACATCCATCATGTGATGATGCAAGGAGAGCCCTTCCTGGATTGAAGGGCGGATCTATCGCATTCCTCGAAGCATGCCTTCAGGGGTCTCGACTCTGGTTGATATGCCATTCAAAAGGGATGCTCTGCTCGCACAGCATGAAAGCACGGCGTAAACACACCGCGGTTCTGCAGCAAGCCATTCGCGGCTGTTGCTTGACATCATCGTCATTATCATGAGACTGATTTTCCAAACACTGGTCATCTGCCTCATCATTCATGTGGAATGCTTCCCAAATGTGACGGTTAACCTTGGCTATTCGCAATATCGAGGACAGGCCATCTCCAATGGCATTGTGCAATGGTTGGGAATACGCTATGCTGCTCCTCCTGTAGGGTCCTTGCGATTTGCTGCGCCCCAAGATCCAGAAACGGCGGAAGGAGTTCAGACTGCCTTTCAGGTATTGTTGGGGACCCCCTTTAAGACTGTAGCACACAGTCCTTGTCTTGAACCGACGCTGAGATGTCAGATTTAGCATGGTCCCTTGTGTATACCCACCGATCAGTACCCCATCCCAACTGGGGCATCTGAAGACTGTCTGTTCCTTGATGTGTACGCTCCGAAATGGGCAAGGAATGCATCAAAGCTGCCGGTCTTTGTGTTTATCCAAGGCGGAGGCTTTAATGCAGACTCGAATGCCAACTTCAACGGGACTGGGCTGATTCAGGCGTCCAAGACTGGTATCGTGGTGGTTAACTTCAACTATCGAGTCGGTCCTTACGGGTTCCTCTCCGGGTCTGAGGTCCTGAAAGGTGGAAGTTCGAACAACGGGCTCAAAGATCAGATTAAAGTCTTGCAGTGGGTTCAGACGCATATAACAAAAGTAAGCCAAAGCTTGCCCAAATGAGTGCGACTTTGCACTGACCTATTACGCCCAAGTTTGGCGGTGATCCTGAACATGTGGTCATTGGAGGGGACAGTGCAGGAGCAGCCTCGGTCACTCTTCTCCTCTCGGCCTACGCTGGGGAGAATCGAGGTCTTTTCCATGCCGCTGCTGCGGAATCGCAAAGCTTTGCCACCATGCTGACTGCAACCGAAGCTCAATTTGCGTATAACAACCTCGTGATTCGCACTGGCTGTGCAAGCGAAGACGACACTCTATCGTGTCTGCGCAAATTGGATGCAGGAACCTTACAGCGGCAAAACATCGGCACCCCCCTTCCTGACGCACAGAAGCCGCCCCTATACTTTTATGCGCCTACCATTGATGGCGACCTAGTCCCTGACTACACATACCGGTTATTCTCCCTAGGGAAATTTATCAAAGTCCCTGTTATATTTGGCGATGTGACCAATGAAGGCACAACATTTGTCCCGAAGAGTATATCCAGTGTGGGCGAGGCCGACACATTCATCCAGAGCCAATTCCCAGCAATCCAACTAGACCAGCTCGCCATAGTCAATCACTTGTACCTCAATGAGAACCAGACTATGTCGTTTCCTGATGCTGGTTTATATTGGCGGCCGACCAGCAACGCATATGGTGAACTCCGCTACAATTGTCCCGGTATCGCCATGTCAACGGCGTTCTCAGAAGCCGGGGTCAAAAGCTGGAATTATCACTATGCAGTCCAAGACCCGAGCTCTGAATCCTCCGGGGAAGGTGTTTACCATGTCGTAGAATTGAATGCCATCTGGGGTCCGCAGTATGTGACTGGAACACCACCCGCGTCCTACTTCACCTCAAATGCGCCTATCATCCCCGTCATGCAGGGGTACTGGACTAGCTTCATCAAGGCCTTCGATCCGAATCCCTATCGCTATCCTGGTAGTCCAGAATGGGAGACCTGGAGTGGTAATGGCAACAGCGACCGTCGGCTCTTCATTAGGACGGGAGACACCAAGATGGAAACGGTGCCGCTAGATCAGAAGGCGAGATGCGACTACCTAATCAGTATTGGGATTGCCTTGCAACAGTGAGTCCTTCTCGATACTCATGCAACGTCGGTTCTTTGGACGAGTTTACTTTGTTTTCTCTACGCATGTACATATCTGCATCCCTCCTGATCTTGAACCGTAGGCCAACATACGTATAGCCGTGGTCTACTAGAGCACAGAATGCCAATCCAACCCATGGAATTGTGAAAGATGGTAAGTTTTTTCTATCTGCCCTAACACCGTCGACAAAATACTGTAGTAGATATAAAGAAAAGGTAGATATATACATAGATGTGCCAGAGCATACTACAAGATGTCGGGTGGGACGCGAAGGCGAAACTCTCGAAGCAGTCCACCCATCTACGCACCCAAGACCGGCTTGCAAGAGACACATCGAGGTCAAAACCAGCGAAGGGGAAAGATGCATCTATGTCATGGAGTCGGGGGGAAGAGGCGCCAAGATCGTCGTGATCACCGCTTGCCCTGTCGCATCCTCTTGACTCTCTCATAAGCATTCGCCTCCCTGCCCTCCTCATTCTGCACCTCGGCCACGAGGCGCTTGTACTTGCGTTCGTACTCCGCATCGCGCTCCTTCTTCTCGCGCAGCTTCTCGCGCGCAATGAAGTTGGCGTCCTTGCGGAGCTCGCGCATGGCACCCTTGCGCTCGCGCTTGTACTCCGCCTTGAGACGGTTGGCCTCAGCGCGCTCGCGGTCGGGATCATAATGCTTGTCGGGATTGAAGGATTCCTCGAACTTGGGAATCGCGGTCTTAATAGCGAGGGGCCGGTGGTTATGGAGGAGGAGGGGCCGACGGGCGTGGCGGGCTTGGGAGAGTTGCGCGGTGATCTTGTCGAGGGTCGACTTGAAGGAATCGAGCACGGAGGAGGATATGAGGTTCTTGCTGGCTTTACCCTTGCCCTTGGTGGTGATGTCGAGAGCTTGGAAAAGGCAGGAGAGGACTTTCTCTACGGGGGAAAAAATCTCGGTATAGGCGGACTTGCCAGACCAAATATCAGAGGCGGAGGAAAGAAGGTTGACAAGAGTATTGATGATGGAGAGCTTGAGTTGGTCCTCGTCTTCAGGCGCATCCGCCACGTCCCAGAATCGAAGTCTGCGGGAAGAGATGGGCTTGGAAGAAAGGTTCAGTTGGAGAGACGTAGATGGACTCCGAAAGGGAAAGAATCCCATGGCGGATGCGTCGGTCTGCTCCTCCGGATTGAGGTGGTAGAGGACGTTCAGTGAGTAGTTGATGAATTCTGGCATGTAGCGCTTTGAGATGGCCTGGTATTGCAGGCAGAGACTGGCTGCGTAGGCGCCCGTTGCGAAGTCGTTAAGGTTGTCGACAGCACCCTGGCCCAAATACCTGGCAATGCAGAGATGGGCGGGCGTTGCGATGGCATGGAAGTGGTCAGAAGTTGGGAACGTCGTCGCAATGCCGGTCAGGATGACCAGGTCGCCGGGGCGAAGGTTTAGAGGACGGTCAGTCGCAATTTGGCGCAAATGGGCTCTGTATGCCTGACAAACGCTTTCAGGGTGGCTCTTGGCCATAGAGTGGATGTGACGAAGGATGTTCTCCACGATCGAGAAAGGAGGGTGGTCCGATAGTTCAGTCATATATGCGACGTGTTGGACGAGAATGCCGGCAAAGCGGCTAAGCTTGGTCTTGTTGTCGCTGTGAAGACGGGGGTGATGCAGGGCTCGAATCCTTTGAATCACGGTCGGGAGATCCTGCATTGGAACATCTTTGATGATCTCTAGGAATTCTTCGTGGCTACCGGGGCATGGATATGTGAATGCCAGACCATCGCTGACCTCTCTAGCGCCGTCTGCCGCTGCTGTGGCATCTCCATCGTTGAGTCCAGGAATCGAGAATCCGTTGATAAGCTCATCATCTTGCTCATCTTCATTCTCCTCTTCCTCCGAACCTACACCGGATTCCATGTCCTCATCCTCATCGAAAGACAGACTCACATCTGACCTCGTCTCCACAAGATCGTCATCGATAATGAAATCATCTTCGTCTTCGACCCCAAGCTCAGGACGAGTGACCGCCTCGGTAGGCTGTTGCAAGCCGAAAGCCTTTGCGTCGTCGAAGACTGACTCATCGTCTGATCCCTCACCGTCCTCGTCCTCATCTTCCTCCTCCTCCGCCACCTCGGCTTCGGATTCACTTGACTCCTCGCCACGCATACGTCGAAGCCGCTCTTCTTCAAGAGTCTTCAGGCGCTGAGCCTCCTCCTCTGCCTTTTCCTCAGCAGTCTTGGTACGATCCGTGGGTGCGGACCGCTTGTCGAAGGTTAACTGCTTTAAGCGCTGATCGTACTCCTTTTCGGCATCATCGGGATTTTTCCCTTGCAATATAGCGGCCCGCTCGGGATTCATTGCCGCTAGATCATCCTTGGGGGGCTCTGGCTTGGGTGGTGGCTTGACACCCCTCAGCATATCAAACAGATCGGGAAGTCCCTTGTCGAGCTCTTCTCTGAGATCATCGTCATCCTCTTTGGCCTTCTGCCGCTCGAGCTTGTAGAACTTCGACTTGGCGATAACCTCCTTCATGACCTCGTTCTTCGACTTTTTTCGCTCGGGCAGTTCTTCTCCCTCTTCGTCGTCGTAAATCATGTCCGCCAAATCAGCATCATCATCCTCATCCTCCAACATCCGCTTCCTCTTCCTGGGCAGCTCCTCGTCATCGTTGTCCTCCTCCGCCCCAAGATCACCCTCCTGGAAATCATCTAGGTTGACACCCTCTCCGAAGGACAGGGTTTCTCCCATGTGAGTGAGCTGAAACTCCTCGTCATCGTCCTCAAGGTTGAACATAGATTCCTTCCTCAGTTTCTTCTGGCTTTGTCTGGCGAACCGCTCGGCCGCTCTCTCCTCCGGCGTCATCGTCGGGTCGTCCTCACCAAAACGACGATCGAGAATACCGCCAACTTTGTTTCGCCGGTTCATCTCCTGAAGAAGGGTTTGACGCCTCTAGATAAAATGGAAGCAGACGACAATTAGCGACAATCTCGAAGTTCTGCAAATATTGGGCTGGAACTACCTTCTCTTCACCGTAGGACTTGGTCACACCAGGTCTGGCCTGACCGGCGTTCTTCTTAGGCACATCGCGGGTAGTTACATCGAACTTCGGCCGCGAAGTCGTCTTGATCTCGAAGGGATTGAATCGATCGCGGATAGCCTGCAGGGCGTTGTTGCGCTGAATGCGGTTCTGCGCAGCAACGCCGGACTTTGCATTCTGCTGCTTTTGCTTCTTGGACTGCTGGGGGCCTAGCAGTCCTCCATCTCGAAGAGAGGCCTTAAGCTGCTTCAACTGCGACGGCGGCATCGTTGGGGCGTGCAGGGAGTTGTCGACGTCCACTCACTTGTGCTCGGAGGTGGAACTCCGCCGAAATTTTTGGGCCAAACCGGCGCGCGATTGGGATCCGCCCCGGGGAAAAAAAAGATACCTCACCGCCCCACCTTGGTACTTGTTCTGCCGGCACTATTACTTTCCCCGCTTTCCAATGCCCTTCCGACGCGCCGCAGCTCGACCGTCTTCAACTCCACCATAGCGCCGAATTGAGGTATAGTAAAATGGCGGAGCGTATGGGTGATAATTTATTATGGCTGTGCTTAGGTGAGCTAGTGCGCCTCAAAGACGATACCTGGTTGCTGAGACATTCTAGGTGTCTCACTCTTCTTCGCTGTTCGCGGCATCGTCACAGATCTCCGCCAAGTGCGCGAGTTAACGAAAATTAAGCATGTTGAGGAAAGGGACGATAGGATGATTACTGAGGGCACCGAAGAAGGTATGCGCCAGCGCATATGTGTTTTGTCATATTGGGAGCTGAATAGAGAACAGCACTCAACCTAGACACTTTACAAAAGCTTTCCGAGAGTACTAGCCATGATCTCCGAGCAGCGTACGATGATGCACCCCTCCCCGCATAACTATCCACATCGACTAAAGAGTCATTCCAGCGCACTGCGCATCATCGCAGAACGATCAACAAAAGGCGAGACCCGGGATCTGCTGCTGCAAGACTTGGTGAGCAGAGACAAAACACAACGCAACAAGGCGCTGAATGCATTGTACTTTCTTGTTTCTAACCGGGCTCGTATGGCATCTGTCCGTACATCAGAAACCAAATTCCTGCTAACTCGCAGTATCAGTCTCTCGCACCTCCATCTGCTCCCGGCTGCAGGACCTCCCTGCCTATACCGCGCTAATCAACTGTCTTTGTAATCTCCTGGACGAACATACAGAGGAGACATCGACGACTGTCTCACCGATTCTCCCAAAGACCAGGCCTTTGGGCGAGAAGAAAGCGCTGAATATACTCAATATGGTCCTACAAGAAAATGTGCCTGCTGCGCTAGAGGCTGGTATCGTCAGCCGTTGGCTGGCCAAGTACCCCTTTCCGTGCGCCACTGGAGAGCGGCCACGACGTCAAGATGTCGTGATTCTTATGAAAACGTGGTGGTCGGATGATGCGGTGATGAGTGCGATTTTTGGTACTTTGTCTTCACACGTGGACGGCGCGAAACAACTACGCAAGTTTGGCCTCATGGGTAGTATGCTGGAGGAAAATGATCATGATGACTATGACAGCGACGTATGGATGGTCGATGGTGAAGATACCGCTGGGTCTTGGCGAGTATCCGGCCCACGGATCCAGCAGAGAACCGCCGAGGAACAAGCTGTCAGAAGACGCAGGCGAGAGGCGATGGTATTGAGCGAAGGGGGCCGTGCTTTGGGTAGTGAGGATATTATACAGGTACCTGTGACCGAGTGATCGATTGTAGACAACAACACTCTGGGGCACAAGGAGTGGTGACGGATAAGGACAATGCTGCATGTTTATTATATTTATGATACCCTTTGAACTTCAAGAGAGATATGTTGCAAAGCAATTTTTGGTATGACGTCTCACAGACCCATCCACGCGGTTTTAGAAACATGATCAACCTTCTTCCGGCTGCTTTTCATCATTCCGAGGGCCTTCAAGTCCGATAAGGCCCTATAGAACAGAGCCATCGCTGTCCGTTCATCACAACCATTCCCCTGCTCGCTTTCAAACACCGCATAGAACGCCTGCCATAGGTCATGGACGTTCACTAGCGAGCCAGACTCTAGATACAGTTGATATAAAATAGCCGCTGCCGGCTGGTGCGCTGAGACTTTGACCGTCGAACTTTCAGGTGATGAGATGAGGTAGTCGAAAGGACTCGAGAGTGCCCGCTCAACAGCAAAACGCGGTCGCGGAGAGAAGACTTCCTTCAGGGGATTCCTCATATCAAGGAGGAAGATTTCATGCAAGACCAAGTCATTAGGCCTTATCAAAGTCTCCTCGAGACATGCTTCCAAGAGGGCATGGAAGCGATCGATGATTTTCGTAAATTCTGCATTCTCTTTGGGCAATTTGACCTTGGCCTTGCTGAGTTTCACCCGCTGTTGAACAACCGTTGTCGCCACGACTGAATGTTGTTTATCATACCCACTTTTGAGTGGTTCAGTTCCTTGATAGACCTGGAGCAGGGCCCCAAAGTCTGCTTGAATTTGCGCAAAATCAGAGCTAGCCGTAAGTGTGTCCGGCAACATCATTGCAAAGAGCGGCATCTGGTCGGAATCGAGCGTCTTGATTGCTCGAAGAATATCCTCATATGATGCAGAGGTTTGCAGCTCCCCAGCAAGTGCCCGGATTGCTAGATCAGAGATACTGGTTTTCTTTACGATGTTGAACTTCTTCAACGCTCGTTGCACCATATCCACGCATTTGAACATGTCGCGCATTTTCTGCTGACCCGATTTTACCCACTGGGCGCTTTGCTCGAGAAGGAAGGCATCATCTTCCAATAACTTGCGAACTTGTTCAGCGCAGCCTTCTTCCATTGTATCTTCGCAGTACCTTAAATTGTTTTAGACCTGGCAGCTCGCAACTAGAGGCGAGACACTTACCTTCGGAAAGATGGAAGGTTTCTGAGAGCCTCGCATACTTTATCGCGTTGTATTGTGGTAGCAGCATCATCATCCGCAAGGAGCACGCTTAATGGGTTGGCGAAGAAATGTGACATATAGGCATACTGAGAGACTTAGCCTAGGCCACCCGACATGGTGCCTGTGCCCAAAACACTTACCTTAACTGTTCGACTGAAAGCTTCTGGTGTCTGAAAGGAGTCGCTTGACTTCTCAAATAGTACGCTGGTGATGTTACGACCTAGCCAAAATTTTCCATCCTGTTCTGCTTGTATCCTCCCATAGATGCGATCCACGCAGTTGCTTGCTTCGTGAATCTCGAAATACCGTCCTCGCAACAGGGCAACCGTGGAACGAGGTAGTCTCCCTTCAAAAAGTTCCACGGACGTCGAGATACCGAATATAAGTGTCAATGGAATTCGATCGAGCCACGAGCTGATAACCGTGAGTTGTAAATCTTATAACCACCGTAATTTGATACGAAATAGCTCACCTCAAAAGCGACAAGAGGTCCGCCAGAATACCAGGGTCAAATGCTTCACTGTCACGAAATGCTAGAACCAGCTTCTTGACCTCCTTTCTTTTGACATAGTCTGCCAACAAGTCAAGGTCATAACCAAGCACTCTTGGACCCTATGGTCACCATTAGCGCTCATTGTCGGCTGAAGAATAAACCCGCTGTACCTCTCGGTCAGTGACAAAACTCTGATAACCCTCATTTCCCTCCGTATTTGTGATACCGAAGCGGATGATGTTCTTCAGAGTTGTCTTAAGGTTCGGTGCATCACCAGATTCCAATGCAATAACCCCGCCTTCTCCAGTTGCTGTCAGTTGACCGTTGAGTCTAGAAAGCAGTCGGCCGAGGGACGAGACATTGGAGCCAACCGTGACTAGCGCCGCAGGTATACAGCCATCGTAACTGTCTTTGATTAGGGACTGGCTTCCTTCGATGGTACCGCGATCTTACGTTTGGGGTGAGGTCGACCTGACGAAGGACAGGACATTGGTGAGGACCTCGGAGTCGACATCATCCAGAATGCCCTAAGTAACATCGTTATTACTCCCTCGGTCAAAACACAGCATTTACTCGCGTACCTTGATTTTTGCTTCCTGAGCAGCCCAAAATTTATGGTATATGCGATATCGCAGTTCAATGGACTTTGCATCTTCATCGCCGTTCAAAAGAGATACAAAAGGACGGGAATTCGCAGCCTTCGGTAGATCCGTTCGTGCAACTTTGCGCCGTTTCGTCGGTCGTTCTCCCGAGGATTTGATCTTATCTGCTGGTCGATAAATGTAAACACCCTTTCAAGATTGATTGTCAGCGACGGACTGGGGAGTCCAGGAAGGACAAGCGCTGCGACGGGAGAGGTATGTTCTGTACCTGACTTTGGGAGCCATCTTTCGAGGCGCCCCCGGTGTCCAATTCTAGCAGATCCGCGTCCATCGCGGGGTGCCCGGGAGTATCTTTCAGCTAGATAGCACAGGATAGCACCCGTAGGATACAAGGAACAGTTCGCGAAAAGAGAGAGGGAGAGGGAGGAGAGGGCGAGACCGATTGAAAGAGGGTGGAATCGAGCTCACATTTGCGCTAAACCAGATCAAGTAAGTATTGGTTTTCCGCCGCGGAGCTGATGATCTTCCTCCGCGCTTTTCATTCCGCCACTGCTCACTAACTTCCATGTTGCTCCTTTTCCTTCCCCTCCCCCTCCCACCCTACCTCCGTCTTTTCGCAATCTCACATATACACACTTGCACTCCACTCTCTCTCTCTCACGCACTTTGCGTTGAGACTTCTCCGAACCGCACACTATTTGTCCGATGCGCTAAACGGTCGAACTCTATGCTCCGCCAGGCCGTCCGAGGAGCTCGGTGGTACCAACATGTGGCCCGCAGAGGGCCGGGGGCCTTTTACCCGGTAGCACCACGTTACCTTCACTATGGCGGGCCCAATGACAAAATCAACTTCTTCGAAAAAGCAACACCGGGAAGCAAGCATATCAGAAAGGTCGACCCCGAGGCCGATGACCGCGCCGAACGAGAAGAGGTGGAGGCCGAGTTGGCCAAGTTAGATAAAGAGTTGGAAATCCTGAAGGAGGGCCCGTTCGGTCCCAATAGCCAGTTTATTCGTGAGCTGCCGGAGAAGGAGCGGGCGATTGCGCTCGAAGTTATTCGAAAACACGAGGCGGAGAAGGGCCCTTCCAAACCCCAACCTTGGTTCGATGAAGTCTTTGATGAGGGGCTTGACGACATGCTGAAGGAAGAGTTTCAGGGCATGGCCGAGGAGGAAGAAAATTGGTACTCAAACCTTGATGGCAAGGGATCCCGCAAAGAGGTCGTTCGGAAGTCTTACGAGATCATACCCGATGAAACAGAAAATCGCCCTTACATTGAAAAATTCAACCAGACTTTGAAATCTGTCGCGAAAGGAAAGCAGGATGAGCGAGGAATACAGGAAGTATGGAAGTGGTATCGTCGCTGCAAACGCATTGTCCCTGGCTTCTTGAAATCGATGCCGGAAGAAGCCTGGACGCTATTGTGGGATTCGCAAGCGCACCAAAGTCTAGCGGGGTCTCAGGTCGCGACGCACATCCAGACCCTTGCTGAAGATGCCATTTCTGTTGGCTTTCCTCTTTCGACACGACGAATCATCTCGTTTATCGAAGCACTTCATGTCACGGGGAAGACAGGAGATGCCCTGGAACAGTGGGAAGCCCACCAGACCGGGCTTTGTCAGACGAAAGAAGACCTGGAAGCGTATTGGACCTTGGGGGTACAGCTGTTCTCGGCGGAAGGCAATCCTCAGCGAGCGCAGGATATTGCCCTAGCATTCCTCGCAAATGATTCATCCCGTCAGCCTCGGATCCTCATTCCCATCATAACAGCATGGGCTGAAAAGCCGGGAAAAGAGGCAGAGGCCAAGGCGTGGGCGTTGTATCTCCAGCTCAAAGCCTTCCGCGATCACCAAATGACGATGAATGACTACGACTCTGTCAGCATCGGTCTGCTTAAAGCTGGCAGGCTGGGCCTGGCCATAGCCGTGTTCAAAGACATGATGGTGACCGGGCGTGATCCGGCGAACGACTCAACCGCACTCTACAAGGCGGCCCTTGGCCTGGCTGGCAGTCTTCAAGCGTCGAGCGTCTCGGAGGAAGAGGTGAACAGGGTGTCATTATCGACCTTGACTCTTCTGCCCCGACAATTCCAGAATCGTTTTTTCTACGCCAGTTGGATGAAGAAGCTTATAGGCATGGGTGAGGTGGACTCTGCAGCACTCGTAGTCGAGCTGATGTACGAAAGAGGTATTCATCCGGATCCCAAACATCTCAACGGTCTTGTTGCTGCTTGGCTGCGGGACGGGGATGCCGCGTCACGGGAAAAAGCCGAATGCCTAGGATGGGCGATGGTTCAGCGACGAATTGACTCGGCTTGGGCACGAATTAATGCAGGAGGGGAAGCACCCAAGGTCGATGTCGATCAGGACATGGACAGCACTCGCATACCGAAGTTCATGCAGCGCCCCATGCCCAGTGCTACTATTGAGACCTTTTCGATCCTCCTTCTTCACTACACTCGACGGAGCGACGAAGACATGGTCAAATACCTGATCAAATGCCTAGGCGATGCGCGCCTTCAGCCCAATTCGTACTTCATGAACCACCTTCTCTACGCGGATCTTCGGAAACAAGACATACAGGCCCTGTGGCAGAAATATCAATCGTTGTGCACCGTGACACGACCGGACCTCGAGACTTTCGCCTGCTTATGGGATTGCGGCAAGCTCCAGTACGACCGTAGCCGGACCGCCTTTGTGGCCGGCTTCCCCAGCGCTCGCGTTCTCTTCTCGGAAATGGTACGGTGGTTCGCTCAGCTCCCGACCCGCGGTCAGTCGCTCGCACGGGAAGAATTCTCCAAGGAGTTATACGACCAGATCATCCGTTGCTTCTGCCTATCCAAGGACCTACCGGGCACGCTCGTCGCTCTCCACGCGATGCGCGCCACATTCGGCTTTGCCCCAGACGCAACCACCGCCCGGATCATCGTTCTTCAGGTAGCCCGCATGGCCGGTGTCCCGGCCGACACACCCAAACGTCGTCTCCGCCGCCTTTCCAGCACTCCCAGAAGCAAGGAGAGCGTCGCGCATGTGCAGACACTGGTGCAGCTCCTTAATAACCGGAAGACGGCCGCGCTCGAGGCTCGGGGTCAAACGTTGCAGGGGCTCGAACCGGCCGAGCAAGAGCAGTACCAGCTGGAGATCATGGTTGAGTTGCTGCGCGCGGTAATGAACCGAATCTCCAACAACCCGAGTCTCGTTGAATCCCAAATCAGGTCGGTGGCGGACGAGATGGCAGTATCCGGGATTGATCTGGGGTCGGCAATGGAGGGCGACAGCCAACTGTTGTGAAGTTGTTGTCCGAAAAGCGTGTTTACCCGCGATATTTGGCGCCTACCGTGGAATATGGCTTGCAGCGTTAGTATAGATGGCGTTTTGGGGGGGGGGGTTCTCATCGGTCTCGTTTCGTGTATATATAGTGGTTATAGTATGATGTAAAACGGATGAACATTTCCTCTCTTGAGGCTGGTGTATCATGTTGTAACAAAGAAATCTTTTCTTCCCACTCAATGGGAAATACAGCGCTACCAACGGACTTCGAGCAGAAGTGAAATCGGGACATAACCTTGTTCAAGAACAGCATTTGATAACACCACACCGGGAGAAAAAAATAGTCGAAAAGATCACACTGAAAGCTGCCCAATCCCATACAGACACATTGAACCTCGTCTACTTCTTTCCTTGCTCATCCGCCTCGACCAACACCCCATCATCATCACTGCTTCCCGCCACGGAAGGCGGCGCGCCGGAGGACGATTCGGGGGTCTTGATCGCGGGCGTGGAAGAATTCGGCGTGGCGGCACCACTCGTAGCAGTCGGGGTCGTGGGGGTAGCAGCAGCGGGAGCGGCGGGGGCAGAGGACTCGGATTGTTTCCTCGAAGGTGTCGCATTCGCCGCCTCGGCATCCAGCTCTTTCATAAACTCCTCCTGAGTGTTCGCCCTCTTCTTCTCCCACCACTTGCGCTCCTCCTCAAGCTTAGCCTGCTCCTTCTCCATGCGTTCCCGGTAGAGATCATTATTCAGCATCTCGTTGGCCGACTGAAAGATCGTCTGACCCCAGCCGGGAACGTACGCATTCGCCTAGATCCGAACGTGTCAACCCCCTCAACTCTCTACTCATATTCAAAAAAAGGAAAACCAATTCAAGACAAAACGAAAGGGAGAGGGAAGAAACCCCCCCCCCCCCCCCAAAAAAGAAAAGAAGAACAAACCTCAGCAACAACATCCCGCACCTCCTCCTCCATCTCCTTTTCCGCGCGTGTGAACCGTTGCCAGAGATCATCCCCCACACTGCCGCGCTGCAACAGCATGGCCAGAGCCTGCTTCTGCGACCTCAATTGCATGACGCGCTTGATGTCCTCAATCGCGCGGCGCAGCAACGCCGCCTTCAGTACCGACTCCGGCACCGCGGGGCCCTTCTTCTCCTTGCTGCTGTCCTTCGGGGGGTCGAGGTGGAGCAGGTTAAAATAGATGTCGCGTTGCACGTGGGCGGGGAACCATGGCTCCAGGGAGAATGCCTTGGCTGTTGGCGGGTTGGCAGTCAGTGAAGATTCGCGTGTGCGTATAGGAGAGCTCTGGGTGCGGTAGAATGTCTAAGAAGGGGGGGAGGGGGCTGGGTTTGTAGTGGTTTGGAGGGCTAGGGAAGAGATGGATGATGCATCATGAACGTCAATACGTACTGGCTTTGCGCTTGCGGTAGAGAGAGGAGAATGTCGCGAGAGAGCCAAGTAGAACGCCCAAGTAGGCAAACGGCACCGCGAGGGAGATCCAATCCACCATCTTGAAGAATATGTGGTGTGTAATCGTGGTAAACAATTGGAAAGAGTGGGTGTGGTTTTGTAGCCACGCGGAAGCAGAAGGCGGAACGGATCAATGAGTACACTTACGGTAAGGAAGATTAAAGGCCAGGCTGGTGTCTTGGCCGTGTCACATGTCTGGACCCTTTATCGATAAGCAGTGGTTGATTCACCACAACATTTCTATCTACATACTTAAAAATAATGCCACTGAGTACGACAGCACGAATACCTTCCAGAGATATTACAGCTGCACTACTGCCTAAAGAGTCTGATCAGACTACCCAAATGAACGAAGCCTGCACCGCCCGGTATAATGGAATCAATCAATGCGAGAACCCATAACCAAGCCAGGTATGATTCAGCCATGCAAAGGAAACAGAAGCTTGTAAACCACTGAAAAGCTGACGGCGTCATCTGCCATACAGCCTATTACATAAAACCATTGCCACTTCAAAGAGGTATCCCTAGAACCAAACCGCGCATGAGACGAAACTAAATGAGAAGAAACGAGAAATAAATCCACTCGAAAGTGTAGCCAGCCGGTCCCGAGAATAGGGCCTACGAGTGATACGCAGACTCGCCCAAGAGTTCTTTCGTCTTCTGGCTGATGGGCCCAATCTCTTGCATAGCTAACATGTCTTCCAGAACGTCGTTGAACGTGTCGCGGATGCCAGCAGCAACTCTGCTGCGATTCCATTCGCTGCGCGATTGCCAGAGATAGTCCATCAGATTCGTGTTAATCTGCTCCAACTGCTCCACGCTGCAGCCGCTCGTTCGCTGCGTAAGCTGATTGTGCAAACTTTGAACGTACTCCTGATCCAAAATCAACTTAGGTGAAAGGTCTTCATTATTCAGCAAAGATTGCAGGTTTGCCGGCACATGAGCGGAGTGCTTGCCAGCAGTCTCGAACAGAGGAACTGGAGGCTGGGCGCGTTGCTGAGATGCCCCTCCGTTGTCAATATGTACCAATTCAGCATAACCACCCTGGAGGCGTGGTGAAGGCTGGCTGCTGTCTCCTTGCTGTGTGTCCGGCAGGTGTTCTTCCTGGGACACACGATCGGGGTACTGTGTAAGATCCGGGAACTCATGTCGGATTCCGTGAGCAGTCACAGGACTATGCAAGTGGTTTTGCGGGACCGACGATTGCTCCGATGACTTTTTGTCGGACGTTGTCTGCGTGGTAGACGCCTCATTCGTGTAATCATGGGGTTGAGATCCAGGTGCTAAGGGGGTAACAGGCCCTTTTTGAGAAAAGCTAGAGATGCCGGATTCACGTCGGACCTGCTGTGAAGGTGCCGTATGGGAATATGCTGGCTTTGGCTGTGCAGAGGGCCCGAATGAACTGGTTTGTGTGTCGCGCCCTGTCGACTGATCCGAGGTTGTCATGTATGTATCCCCATCGCCATCAGCCTGATAGTCGTGGGAGCCGTTGCTTGTGACTGCTTGCGTGCTGAGGTCGTTCAGATCCGAGCCACCACCGTGGTGAAAGCCGTTTGTGAAGCTCACTGTCGATGGTCGTGTAGGCGTTACCGGCCTTCCTTTGTCTTTGGGCCCAAGGTCAGGGAACGATTCTCCGAGAACAACGGGACCACTTGATGGACCAGAGTCGGTATTTCCGTGTGGAACCAAGCTAGCGGTCAGCCGTCCGACAAAGCCCCCTTCGTCTTCCTCTGCTGCTTTTCGAGCCCTTTCCAGCGCGATCTTTTCTCTCTCTAACTCCCGGACATAGACACCCTCGCACTCGGCAACAAGGGCCGGTTCGGCCTGCTCGATGGTAGCGATGTCAACCTCGACATTGGACAAGAGCTCATTGGCCCTGAGCAGCCTTTCTTGTTCACCTAATTGCCGCGCGTCCTTCGCCAACCGTTTGATATCCGCCAAAAAGTCCTTTGGTCGTTTGTAGTACCCGTTGGAAAGCCGTTTCTCGATAGTCACGATCTCCAGATTGTAGAAGAATTTGCCCGATACTGTTTCACGTAGTCCGGGAACGCCGTGCTTGTCGAAAGCCTTCTCGAACGGTCGGAAGGTGGTCCGTTGTTCGATTGGCAGATCACTGGTAACAATGCTCGAATTTTCTTCCTCCCAGAGGTACCGGATCTGAGACTCGTCGATCACGCCCGTTCTGAACCTTTTGTACTTCTTGATTTGATCCATGATAGGCTGAATCCGAATCTTCAGGAGATTGAGGGTCTGGTAGTCCTTCTTCTTCTGGGCCTTGAGCTGCTCCTTGCTTGGCGGGGTGGCAGCCTTGGGCGGCGGTGGAGGCGCGATCTCCAACGTTTCAAGCTCCCGGCGCTTGCGGTTTTCGGGATCGGGGAAGTGGGCTGGAGACGTCTTGATGTAGTCGATTACCTTGGTAAAATACTCATAACGTGCATCATTGCCCGGCGCCTTGAGGTCAAAGAAATTCTTTTTGGAGTACCCGAACAGGTTTCTCATCAGTCCATTGTCCAATTCCTCGCTATTCGACTCTTGAACGCCCAGTAGCAACACCGGGTCTGTGGGAGGAACCGATCGAAGTAGCCCCAAGAAAGTGGCAATTACAGCCTGCCCAACAGTTTCAGACCAAGTGTGGATGTTGGGAATATAGATCACGCTGGGCTTATGTCTCTTCACTTCAGCAAAAAGCTGTATGATGGCGGCCTCAGGAGATCGAGTGGAATCGCTCAGAAGGGTTGGAAGGTCAAATGCCTGAACATGCAGACCTTCGAAGTGGTGCAAAAGGGCTCCCGCCAGATACTGCTGGCCCATACCCAGCGGACCGCGGAGTAGTAGTCTAGGCCGGAAGACTCGCGACCTGTCGAACTCTTGCTGCATTTGTTCGCGCTGGAAGCCACCCCCAGCGGGCTCCTCAAATTGTGCCTCTTCCAACGCAGTGAGCCGCTTTCTCTGCGGTAGGATCTCAGACACCAGGCTCTCGATGTCAGCAAGCGGTGCACGCAGTAAAGGTTCAACCGACTTGGGCAATGGCGATGCGCCGGAGGAGGTTGATCGCTCCGACGAGGGAACCATCTTCTTGATTGCTAACATGAAATCCTTCGGTGTGACATCGATAGTTTTCGGGTCGATGACAAGTTTCTGATTAGACTTGTAAATTTGGGGATACCGTCTCTGCACCGCATTCAAGGCAGCTTCCGTGCAAAGAGCTCGTAAATCAGCTCCTCCATAGCCCTTGGTAATCTCTGCAAGCTCATCCTTGATATAATCTGGAAGCGGCGGTTCCCAGCCTTTTGTGTGAATATCCAGAATAGAACGTCGCCCGTCCTTGTTGGGCAGAGGGAAGTAAAATTCGCGATCGAATCGACCGGGTCGACGAAGCGCCGGGTCAATTGAGTCCGGTCGATTTGTAGCTCCGATGACAATCACTTGACCACGACCGTCCATCCCATCCATCAAGGCCAACAGGGTGGAGACAATTGAGGCATGGATTTGTTCCTGTTTGCTTGACCGAACAGGTGCCAGACCTAGGTAAGAGGTCGGTTAACTCTTGAAGCTACACGGTTGCATCGGGATTAAGAGCAATCTGACTTACCATCAATCTCATCGAAGAAGATAATACTGGGTTGTGTCTTGCGAGCCTCCTCAAAGAGAAGCCGAAGCTGACGTTCTGCTTCACCCACCCATTTACTCAACGCATCGGCTCCCTTTCTCATGTAGAAAGTGACCTTGCGACCATTCGAGCTGACACTGTTAGCGAGAGCTCTTGCCAGAAGGGTTTTTCCTGTGCCGGGAGGTCCATGGAAAAGGACACCACGAGGGGGCACGATGTGGAAACGCTGAAATATCTCCGGGTACAGCAGTGGCAGAGAGACCATCTCTTTCAACTGATCGATATGTCCTTGTAAGCCTCCCACACTATCGAAGTTGACGTTCACATCTACCCCCAGTGGATCCGCATCGGCCAACGCCTGTTTATCTTTGACTTTTCCGAGATTCGCAGGGGTGCCCGAAAGGCCCTGCGCGGCGTCATTGCCATGAGTTTGACCGACAAAACCCGCTCCGGGTAGTCCAGGTGCCGAAAACGACCCACTGACCCCAGTCTTAGGATGCTGCATAACTTCATCATCACTGCTATCGCTGTCCACACCCCCCGTCGCAGCGGGTGCTCCCGGAGGACCCAAGATCGCAGATGGCCCGCCACCTCCAAAAGGCCCGTAAGTGGGAAACAGAGTACGCTGCCAACTGCCGCCACCCCCTCCGCGGCCCCGACGCGAAGGCGATTCATTAATTTCGTTCTCAGCTTCTTCGATGGGCAGGATAAGATCCGGGCGAATGATACGGTAGTCGACATCTTTCCGACTGCGTCGAGGTTTCTCGTAGACAATCTCAGGTTGTACTCGACGGCGAGACCGACTTCCTCGCAGGTCTTCCAATTCTTCGGCTAGCTCCTCGGCAATATCAGCTCCTGCCTCCGACTGGCCACGTGATCGAGACGCCCTTTTGCGCAAGCCAGGGCGACGACCAGTAGTGCTATAGTCATCATCATCGTCATCACGAGCTTGGCTGGCTTTGCGCGGAGATGCGTTCGACTTGCCGGAGTGAGAAACCTCGTCATCGTCGTTTGAATCTTCTTCGGGTTCGAAGTCACTTTCCTCTTCCCGACGCTTGCGTTGAAAGGTGTTGGGTTTCTTGCGACTAGATCGACGTGGTTCCTCCTCTTGGACTTCCTGAGGCTGGTCGGCTTCATCTTCCGCTGGCTGGCCCCGATTTGGCCTCAATCTCCTTCTGGTGATTGGCCCTTCCTCATCGTCTTCGTCGTTCCCATCCTCCTCAACGCCAGCTTTCGCATCGCCATTCTCGGATTCAGGAACAAAACCCTCATCTTCACCTTCCCCATCGTCCTCATTCTGGGTGGGATTTGGTACAGCTCCCTCAAAACTGACTTGAACATCGCTCTCCAAAACCTCAAGCTGCGAGCCTTTGATTTCAGTGGTCGTCTCGTCAATGACCTCCTCTTCTTCCTGCTTCGTTTGGAATTCGCCTTCCTCTTCCTCGTCTAGCACAGGTATGCGTTTCGATGCCCTGGAACCCCGTCGAAGCCGGCTTTCCATCTCCGGACTCTGAGTTCCTCGCTCGACAGTCTCCATGTGACGACCTGAGTTCGTAAGGGCATAGATATCCTCCGACGGATCTCGCGTACGTCTCGTCACCCGGCGAGTGCCTTGAAAATTGTCCAGTGGCGCCTGCGCTTGTCGTTTGAGTGCGTTTCCGACCTTCAGCTTGACAACAGTACTTTTGCGCTTCTTCGGGGATGTTTGTACGTCAACTTCATCGTCGTCTGGGGTGTCATCTTCGATACTGCTGGTATCGCCTTCGTTATAGACCGGTCGGTTAGTGGCGGCTCGTCTAGCAACTAGGCCTCTGGCATTCCGTTGGGCATTTTCGTCATCCTCTTCCTCCGATTCTTCAAAGGAAACCTCGTCCTCACTGAAGATATCGTCGTCATCTGAGATGATGTCATCGTCCGAACCGCGACGGGCTCGTTTCTTTGCGGGCTTGGATTTCTTCTTCGACTTTGACCGGGAGACGGAGCGTCGAGCCGACCGTACCGGATGGTCACTGTAGTCGTCATCATCCGAGTCTGACTTGTTGGCCATCTCCTCGATGGAGCGTTTGGCACGAGGCATGGTGATGTGTTCGATGGTGTTTCTTGTTGGAGGCGTTGGGGTGTCAGTGCGCCCGATGCTCCAGTAACAATGCGGAAAGGTAGTGAATTGGTCGCGTGAGAAGTAACACTCACTCGGCACAAAACGGCTGTTGGAAGCGTTTCAGTTAGGCCAATTGATTCAATGGATTGTGCAGCGGACAATAGCACCAGACAAACACCTCAGATTCAATGCGAGAGGAAAGACTGCGGGCTCATGGAACAGCACCAACAAGCAATTGTCCTTGCGCTCACCAAGCAGCAAGCATTGACTATTGACGGCTACCAAGTTGAAGTGAAATCGGTAAAGCCCCGTTTTGCGCCCGCGAGAACCGAGGCAGGTCGTATATATAACACGCGGTGCAAAGGGGACAGCAACGCGCGAAGTGAACCGGTCCCGCAAGAGAAAAAAGAATGGAGCAAGAAGTGATGCGAGACACCAGAGAGGTCAAAACGCGTCGCATGCAGTCGCTAGGCGGAGTTGGGAGAGGTTGAGAGAACCCAGAGGTCGATGGACAGGGAAAGAAAACAGAATCAAATGAATGGAAGAAACTGAGACGAAAAGATCCCCTCCGCAAGTTGAGACCTTTCTGTGAAAGAGGAAACAAGGCAAGTTACTCCGTACCAGGAACGATACCGATCGACAGCATGACGAGAAAGAACAGAAGGAGGGAAGAAAATCAATGAGGAGTGCCGGTTGAAGTGACCGGGGGGGGAGGGTGTGGTATATGGGTGTGGGCGGATAGACAAGAGAGACCAGACAGACGGGCGAAGATCGAAGGGCGCGGCGGCGGCAGCAGCAGCAGCAGCAGCAGCAGCAGCAGCAAGCATAGCAACTTGGCAAGGCAATGGAAGTGGAAAACTTGCCTAGCCGTACCCAGCCACAGCTGTTCCGCTACCCGCGCCACAGTTAGGCGCCATCATTAGTCCCTATTTAGGTTTAGTCTCTGACCAGACGGTGTGGGCACGTGCCATCCTCCCGGTCCGCGCGGTGTGCCAGACTGCCAGTCACGGTTTGGCGGACCCCAAAAGCGGGCTTTGCAAACCCACCCCTCAAAAATCAACAACAAACCCGCCTTTTGGCTTCTTCAGACTGCCATCTTCCCCCCCTGCCAATCCACCCAATCTGCCCCGAAAAGGCTTGCATGATCTCGTAGATGTCACAAAATGAATGATGCGGATGGGTTAAGCGTGTTTTCGACGGGATTTTGTCGAATTTTCCGAGACCTGTCGCCGGCCCCTTCGGACACGTAGAGAGGAGGAACTGAGAAAGAGAAGAGCTCACAGATCAGGAACGAGCTTTTGCTTTCCTCCCAGGCCCGCAAAGCTTATCGCTTTTTGACTCTTCCCCGCCTGTTCGCCTTCGCCTAATTGCCGCCGGGTCCCCTCGCTTGATATCATGTGACTGCTGAGTCAGCCAGCTCGGCTGGGGAGACTTGGGACTAGTCCCATTCGGAACATCATCCTCATTTGCAGTCAATCAAGTTATCATCAGACAGCTGAGCGCACGCACTCCCCAAGCTGCAAGCTGGCAACTCTATCTTGCAAGTTACATTCTTCGAAGCTTGTCGCTTTCAATTCGATCCCCCCCCCATCTTTCACTGTCTTCCAGAATCCTGTAAAAGAAAAATGTCCATCAATTCTCTCTTAGCCGGCGCTCTTCGCGGCTCAGTACGAGGCGCTACCATCGCCTCCGGCACCCAAAGAACCTTTACCACTACCCGCACCAGATTGAATGCACCGAATGATCCATCGTCTAGTGCCTACCGAGACGGCGTAAGCGACCACTGAAGCTAACCGACTTCCTCTATTCATCCACACTTCTTTCTCCCAGGCGTTGCTTACAGAATGGTAGATGGCCCGGTACAAACTCTTCATCGGCCCCTTTGCCAAAGTCTTCCTGGGCGCCGTCTTCACCTTCCAGGTCCTTCATTGGACGTGGTTGAAGCTCGAGATGGATGAATCCAAGTATGAGAAGAATAGTAAGTTCGAACCCTGGCTCCGCCGTGATATTATTGTATCCTTGTTTGATTACGTTCTATACGGGTCGACCTTGATATTCTGACTAGCGATAGAGGAAGTCACTGCTCTTGAGGAAAAGGCTCGGGAGTTGACAGGCACGCAGAAAAAGATGTAAATGCTTGCATACTTGAGTATTCGGGTCTTGACTGGATCTTACTGGAATAGTTAATGGCGTCGTGTTCCTTGCTATCGATTGTACTCTATCCACCTGCATCTGCCATTGTATATACCCCATGCATCAATGTCGCTTCCTACATGGAATTGGTTGAGAATAAAGAGAAAGGTGTCTAGTACTCGTATGTCTGCATCCCTTGATTGTATAGGGGTAATTGAGGTCAAAAAGTACACGTTTATCGTTTAGAATGCTGCACGTAGTTTGGAAAAGAGAAAAGAAAACCGCAGGCATTTATACATCACATCACATAGCACATAACTCGCCTGGTATCGGGGTAAATATGATCTTTTTCGCTCATATGAGTTCAACTTCAGTTGGCGCATAGCATTTCAATCTGCTCACACGCCTATCGGACAGAACTTGCGAACGTCGACACTGCATATCTCCACTTCCTGGATAAAACGCCGCAGTGACTGACTTTGCACCATATCATCCAGCTTATCAACGGGTATGCTGTGGTTGAGTCTGTGAGTCGATGCTATAGCTACCCAAATATCCATTGATATATGGTGGCTCCGGATTCGCACGTTCGGTCCTGAGAGCCTCACATGGGCCGACATCTGAGGCGGAATAGAGGGCTGAGTATTTCCTCTTCTTCGTGTTTCTGGGACGGTACGAAAGGCGTGTTTGTGATGACGTGGACGGCAGGGAGCCCCTCGACTGGTCTGTAGGTCGTTTTCGGGCAGATTTATCATCATCATCCAGCAGCATTTGATCGTGGTAGGAAGATATGTTTTCGCCCTCCTCCAATTGTCCATCGCTATGTGCACAGACGCCTCCGCTGTGCTCATCTATGATCGGCTCGCTTTCGCACCCAGCATCAGCCGACATGGATTCATCTCCTCCGTGTAGTTTCCGATTTCCGGTAAGCTGGTCAGATGAAGACACCCAGTCTTCGATGCGCTCGCCTTTCTTGTAATGTTCTGTATCAATGTGGTCGAAGCGCTCATTCCATGCCTCGAGTTCATGGCCCAATGGGAGGTCTTTCCGACAAAAGCCACACCAGAATGACGCCCGCCCGTCCCGGGAGATGCGACTATCGGAAAGAACCGCTCGGACCTCATCTTCCGCATCAATCTCATGTTGTTTCTTGAGGTGCTGGACGTAAGTCTGCTGGCGGTAGAACAAACGGGCGCAAGGTAGGTCCTCTTTGGTAGCGTCCGGTAGTGTACAGCGCCAGCTTTTTGAATGAAAGTGCTGTGAGTTCTCATGTCTTTTCCAGTCCTCTTTGCTTCCAAAAGTCTTATTACAGTGCGAGGAAGTACAACTGTATGGACGTTCATGACGCTTCTGGTGTTTTCTGGTATCGCAAAGTTAGCTGTCGGTCCACGTCCACATTCCCAGAGCCTTGAACATACTTCATCTCACAACGCAATCGCGTCTTCTTGCTGCAGAATTCACACTGAATCCATTTTCTTTGATCGGGATGCATGGCGGAACTCCCCTCCTGAAGTTGGCGACTATATGGATATGGCTCCGAGCTTTGATTTAGCATGCCCAAGGCTGTCGTCAGAATCGTCTGCAAGATCTCCCGCTTCAGCTTGGCCAACTCGGCCTCCTGCTCCGCAGCACTTTCGGCGTCCTTAGATTGCTGCCCTTGCTGCTGCTGCGTGAGATTCATGGATTTTGTCATAGTAGTAATCAAGTTCATGGCTGCTTCAGCTACCATGTCTTCCCTCTTGCCACCTCGAGAGATGTCCGACCGAGCCGCAAAAGTCGTTCGCGGACTTAGTGACCCGTCAAAGCTGAGACAATCCAGTGGTGGTAGTTCGACAGCCTGTGGACTTGAATGCGCAGGTTTAAAGGTGGCACGGCTGAGACTTGGACGGGCTTGCTCGTCCCTGACTGAGCCGGGGGTTATCGTGTCCAGTTCCGCCCGAGCCCTTGTGTATGGGAGAGAAGGTGGCACTTGAGGATCCTCGGATCTGTCCCGTGACTCGTCAATCATGTCCTGTATCTGTGGACTACTGGCTTCCGAAAAATGATCCATCAACGACGATGCCATCACTTGCGGCTTAAGGCAGTCTTCGTACCACTCCTGGGATCTTCACGGGGAGTTAGCATCGTCGGATATCACTCGCTTCGACACATCGGCACGAGACTCACTTTCTCAGCAGTTCCTCAGCATCTTCATCATTGTGCATCCGAGTAAGGTGCTGGCGGAAGTTATCCAAGCGAGGCCATCTTTTATTCTTGCGAGGACACTTGACTCCAAAGCACATATACACTACTTTGGGCCCGCGTTCTGGTTCTTGCTTATGGACGCACTTCTTATGACGTGCCAGATCATTGATTGTCCCGAAGCCATCCTTTCGAGTGCAACCTGGCTCATCGCATTTGAACAGCTTTCTGTGTCGGGCTTCGTGCTTGCTGGAGGCTGTTAGCTAGCCAGAAACACGTGCATGGAGTCGGTCAATGGATCTTACCGCTTATCAGACGGACATTTCCCAGTCCACTGGCAGTCAGAGTAATCACACTTGATTGCGTCGGGACCCAGGAGAGATGGAGACTGCATTCGCTCCAATACATCCATTGGATCTCCATAGGAAGCAGTGTTCAGGTCTAAAACTGATAACCGTTCATCCTGTTCTAATTCGAATGGTGCGGAGTAGGGACTGCAAGCTGGGTCGAGTGCGTAAGATGCGGCCACCGAGCGAGTGGTACAACTTTGCGTGCTATACCCTGACTCCGATGGATGCAGACTAGCATATTGGCTGTCGGTCTCAGATGGCGTGCTGTAGTGGCCTGTAGAGAGTCTGCGATCGAGGCCAGACCATTGTTGACTTGGCCCCATCGGGGGACACATGAGAGATCCGGCATGGGTTGGTAGGCCGGTCACCTGAAGCGGCGTCCAAACATCTTGATCTGCTGCGAACCGGGCCAGTGGGTACTGCGAAGAGTCAAAGCTCTGGGCAAAGGGAGATGATGCCGGGTCATGATATGGAAAGTACCGGCCGAGGATTGATGTCAGATGGGGTGGAGGAACTGCGGAGTGAGAGCCAAATTGGAACCCCATCGATGACGCTGAGCTATCGAGGCGTATTGCTGGCGGGGTCAGCCCGTCGGATGAGGCATGTTTATGTGATGATGTTGGCGTTGCTCGTGAGCCATTGATGCCCCGAAGAATATCATTGGATTCTTCCCAGAGGGTATTGTTCCTGGAGGCCTATGGAGAGGTTCTTTAGTCTGCGAATCCTTCTATAGCGCTATCTGTTTCAAGCAAGACAGGGCGAACACAAGCATACCCTCATTGTGCTGACTCTGGAAAGCCGAGGCTCTGTCGTGGTCGGTCTGAGGCACAGGAGAATAGCGCAGCGCAGAGGGTAGACCAAGCTACTAGGATAAATGTGGGCGGGTAGGTTATATAGACGGGAGAAAACAGGGTTTCTTCGCGACGAAGCTTGTGCGCTTCTTGTTAGGGACAAGTAGAGCAGCGCAAGAACATTTCCCGCCTATCTCTTTTTTGTCTACTCTCAGCAGGAGGAATGCGTGAGCTTCGTGCTAGTTGCCGGTGCTTGAAACGAGGTGCAATCTGGGCAAGCCGGGCCCGAGCTTGAGGCATCAACAGAAGCTGAAGGAGAGGCGTTGCGTTTTGACCAAGCGGCGAGGGGATCTGCCTGGGAAGATTAGGACTTGCGCCAGGAGAAGGAAAGATTTGCCAAGTCCAAAGGAATTATCCTTGCGAGACAGGAAGTCAGGATGGTAAAACTAAAAAGAAGCTGAGGGGGTGCAGATGATAAGTAGAAAAGCAGAGGATTATTGTAATGCGACTGGAATCACGACCACCCTGGGTAGTGATGAAACAAATCTCTCAGCAGGACCTGATGAGACAGGAAGGGATGCGGGAATGAAATGGAAGGCTGTGAGAGAATTGGAGAAAGTCAAAAGAAAACAAAAAAGAAACGAGAAGGGGGGAGAAACAAGAAAAGAAAAAGCAATGAGGGAGATCAAGAGATTTTCAGTTCATCGCATCGTCAACCCCACGCGCGATAACGTGTTCAGCGACTGAGTCTTGGGGGAGATGCCGTATGGGGTTGGCATGTCTTCTCTCCGTACGGATAGTCAAGTCAGTAAGCTGCAGGTCAAGCATCCAAATATTCTCTAAGCCTGTCAGACCTGTTGGCCTGTGCTGGTCCAGATCGTCGCTTGCGGACCGAATAAAATGAGCATTAATCCAGTCAGTCATTCATTGATTCATTGATTGAGGGACGGACTCTCTCCGTCGACCGGCATAAGACCTGTCAGAGACCATCTTCCTGATTGAGTACCAGGGCATGTTAGCTCTGAGCTGAGATGCATGCATGTCCGGCGAGAGGGTGGGTGCCAGTGCGACGGATGAAGCCAGAGCAGATGAAGAATCTTTCCTCGCAGGCACAAATCATTATCCCATAGTCGCTCTCTTTCTCGCTCTTGGTTGGCGTGGTTGGGTCTTCGGTTCTGGATTGCGTAGACATGAGGTCGATAAATCCCGCGTTGGCTTTTTTCTCTAAAAAAAATTCTTTTGTTTCCTTTCTTTTCTTTTTTTTAAACGAAAAAAATTGGTTGAAATTTGTTATTTTTCTCATAGTTTTGCTTTTGCCCATGAGGTTCGACAAAAGTACCGAATTATGCAAGTGCCTATACCTAGCTAGTCGTCCTCTCATGCCCCAGAAATAATAACTAGTAAGTTAGCCATCAAGAAGAGTCTCAATCACAAAACTAAACCCCGGCGCCGTCGAGATGATCTCCAGACCTCATTTGGATTAGGTTAGCTCTCAGCTCCTGCAGGAATGATCGCCCAATAAACATTATTAGATGGCATAGGAAGGGTCGGATTGGAAGGCAGCACCTGTTCACGCCTCGCCAGCGATTGTTTTTTTTTTTTTCTTTCTGGTTCATAGTGGTCGGTATACTCCGACAGGGAGGGGAGGGGGGGTTGATTAAGCGAGAAAAGGAAGCATGCTATCTTGATATCAGCCCGGCCGGATAGGTCGGCTTTCATGCCTCTGCCTCTCAGCAGGCTATGAAGCACAACAGGAATAGAGGCCGAAGTATGTAAGGGATCATCACGCGGATGGACGCGGGGATGGGGGATGAGCGGGCCATGCCGACAGATG